TTTCCACCAGCCCCCCCCCCCCATAAAGCTATAATGGTCCACGGCCAGGATCAGAGTTTCTGGTTATGTTGGTTGAAATCGCTGAGATATATTATTATTCAATGTTTATATTGTTAGCATTGTTGCCGTTGTAAATGATTAATGTTTTCCTTGGTTATGGTTATTCAAGTTGGGGAAATGTCTATATCAGTATTGATAACGGAAAAAATAGCAAATATTGAGGAAATAAGTATTGAATGAAAAAGCTGGTATCGCCCATCCCTAATCACATGACATCTTGAGGGGAATTCAGAATTCCCCCTTGCATTAAAGATCCAAATTAACCAAAAATAATATTTTTCTCTCCCTGTTTTCTGTCAAGAAAAATCGCTTAGACTGCTGTCATAAGACCGAATCGTTTCAGAAATTCAATAAACAATAGCGTGATTCCGATTTGGCGATTTTCTCGATGCATAGCCAACTACTTTCGATTCTCAAATATGCGAGATATTTTCAGAACAATTATTAGTAATATATAGAAGTTTTAGTATCGTGTCGGTAAACAATGCTATTCTGACCAATAGTTTAAGTTAGAATATTCTTATTTAATAGCGTTCCGGCATATGTTTATCAAACCGAATTATTTTGGAGCAAAAATTGTACATGTAAGCAATTTTACAACATGGTACATGAACTGCGAATATTTCTGGTCTGAGAACATACAGAATCACTCTGAATGTAAAGCGGTGGTCTCCCCGTTTAAGATACGAATAATTAGAATGAACTTACCTTTGAATGATCAATCGATTATCCAATATATCATTTTGCAATGAGGAGACAGTTTAGTTGGTATTATAAACACACCAACAAACACCAGTCGATCAAAATCACAGCAAAAATGAATTTTCCTGCGGAAGTAGCGTAATAATAAGGATGCAAATTAGTATACAAATTTGCATAGGCATAGCACTATAAATACGAGTGAAAATACTGTAGCGCCATCACGTTGTAGCAGACCGCCCACCGATATGGAACCAACGCCTGTTGCTAGTGGACAACTAAACCTCACGGAACAAGTTTTCTGACGATTCAAATCATATCTTGATTAAAAGGTTTCCAATTTAACCACCAATCTTACTGCAAAGGCCGACAGCAGATCTAAGCGTGTTAAGCGCCAAACTACAGGTCAACAACTCAAGCTTGCTGTTCCTCAGTTTCTTTTCAATGCCGAGGTACAAAATTCAATCGAAGAAAGTACAGAGTTATTGCAACACAAAAACGTCGATGGGGCTTTGGTAAAGCTCGAAACGGCTCAGAAATCTTTACATCTAAGGCAGAAGAAAATAAAACTTGCTGACAAAAGCGACGCTGGGTGGTTTAAAAGAGCGGCTACCATCACTTAGACATATTTTCTGAACATCAGTCGTATTTAGGATTTTCTTGGACCAATCCAGACGGGAGTACAGGATACTATAGATTTACTGTCTTGCCTCTTGGCCTTTCTTCAACTCCCTATATTGTTACGAAACTACTTCGTCCCCTAATTCGTCACTGGCGTGGTTTGGGTATATTAGCACTACAATATTCCTAGACGATAACATAGATATGGAAAATTCGCCTGAAATCTCCCACGAATATGCCAAAATTATCAAATCAGATCTTTGCATGTCAGGTTTAGTTGCCAATGACGATAAATCAATATGGGTACCAACTCTATGGGTACCAGAATATAACTTGGCTAGGTTTGGATTGGCGTAAACGGCACGATCGCCATTGCATCACATCGCCTATAGAGAAATTAAATTCTGCAATAACTACCATTCTTAATCAGCATCGAATCACAGCCAGGCAATAGCGAGAGTAGTGGGACAGATAATTTCGACTGGCCCAGTTACAGGGAATTTGGCCCGTATCTTGTCCAGACATTGCCAAGTGTCTGTTGCATGTGCAGATAATTGGGACACAACATTTCTAATTGTACTGTAAATTGACGACTACTGTCTCCAAGAACTACAGTTTTGGATAACAAACTTAAAATTAGTTAATGTTCGACCTTTTAAAGAATCATCTTCCAGTAACCGAACGATTTGTTCAGCGTGTGGGGCCATCATTTTGGGGACAAGTCATGTGGCACCATAGACATCTTATATACATATACACTACATAGCGTATCTCCTTTAGTAAAATTGAAGCCAAGAATATTCCAGCGGTTACCCCCATTTGAATAGATGGCGGCCATGTTGAAGTTTCCCACTCGCTAATAAACACTTAAAAAACAACAATAACTTTCATCATTTGAATAGTTTAAAAATGTATTTGGAATAGGTTTAACTTAATGTTTAAGTCCCCTGTTTAAGAAATAGAAAACATACCAATTTTCTCATTTCATGGGAATACCCTGAGCCTTCAATCACGGCTTCAATTTTTGAATTGCAGAATAATTAGATGCACTATCTAGTGTATATAAGATATCTATGTGTGGCACACAGAATGCTCACACAATCTGAACAAGAGACAAGTTCAACCATAGCCTATCAAATGGGAGATGCTGTGAAACCATTTGAATAACAATATAACTCATTATCTATGTTGGCCAACGTGTATTCATAAATCTGGTCTTTCACCGTCACGTGTGTATTGCATTTTTACCCAACTAACCAATAGCAATGTTTTAGGAAAGTCACCTATCCGTGACTCGAACAATAGGGAAACTGGAAGATATTGCTATTGGTGGATTTGGCAGAAATACAATACACGTGACGGTGAAGGACCATATTTATGAATACACGTTGACTAAATGCGGATTTCCATGCAGTGGAAAGAGTCGCGCGATCGACTTTTTCGACGACTTTGGTGGATTTGGCAGAAATACAATACACGTGACGGTGAAGGACCATATTTATGAATACACGTTGACTAAATGCGGATTTCCATGCAGTGGAAAAAGTCGATCGCGCAACTTTTTCCACTGAATTCGAATGGAAATCCGCCTTAACACAGATAATGACTTTTGGTATAGATTTAAAGTTTGTTCGTTCACTGCAACCAGGTATATCAATCATGTTTCGCTCGCTACTCTGGTTAAATAAATGATTACAAAGCCCAGTCGAATTGTAATGAAGACCCAACGTTTCGACACTCCAGTCTAGTGTCTTCATCAGGGGTGATCTAAAACTGCGATCGTGGCTTCTTAAATACCCAAGGGATGACGTCACCTGCCAAGAAGATGCATATATTCCTCTGGCAAATAGGCACCGTCATCCCTATTCAAAGCATGATGACTCATATTTATATGCCACGCTTCAAGGCAAAGTCTTTGACCATAGCAATTGTTTGTGGTAATTAGCTTTAGAGTTTTCCCACGCAATCTCGTGTTTGGTGTAACACACATGTTCGGCTAAAGCTGATTTTCCCTTGTCTAAAGTTGAAACAGCCTTTTGATGCTCTTTTAGCCGTGTACCAAACTGGCGTTTAGACTGACCCAAATACTCTTTCTCGCAGTCACCGCATGGTATAGAATATACAGCATGAGTTTTCTGATTTGTTTTAACAGGATCTTTTGGCTTTGTGAAAATATGGCCTAAAGTCAAATAGGGTTTTAAGGCAACCTTAATATTACAACATTCACGATTTAAAATGCACATTGTTTTTCTATTATTCATTATCTGAAGGTAACCTCCTTAAGGCACTTAGGCACTGTACGTTTCTTTTTAATTAATTAAACAACAATAAGTTAGAGACTTCAATGACGTTGTCAAACTCACTGATTTAATGCCTAGGACTGGATAATCCATTTCTATTCAATGAGACAATTTTGAAGCCGGAATTTTATATTGAGAAGAGATTTTAATAAATGATAATTGTTTTACAAATCAAATGATAAGGTGTTTAAAATAGTTTTTATATCAACTGAAATGGTTTTTTGCGAAAGCAATCTCGTTCCCAGAGTATGCCTGTTCGCGGGTTATGTAGTGGCATGACATTACATAACCCGCGAACAGGCATACGCTGGGAACGAGGTTGTTTCGAAAGTTGAAAGATATTGCTTTCCACGCTTCTTCTAATGAGTTTTAGAACGTTCTAAACATAGATAATGAGGGTTGAAGCGGCAATATTGATATGACCTCATTAGTTATTCACTCGCAAATTAAACATCAGAAAGAACGGCCACTGAGGACCAGTTTCTATTTGGACAATGTACATATCCTTTCATACTTAAAACCAAAAGCGCTAAGAACTTTTTCTAACGTGCACGTCAACACCAAAACAGTAGTTTTGTGACGGTCCCTCTAATATTGCCGCCATTGTTTCAGTTATACATAACAGATCTATTATCTAGTCATAGCTTTGAGATCAGCGGCCAACTCCCTATAGCGCTCTGTCTTGAAATAGCGATGGAAATTAGTCACATATATACACAGGGAAAAATCAAAATACCATTAATGCAAAACAGTTAAACATTATGGTTATTACCACATTACCATTTGGATAATTTATAGTAACCAATAATGTATAGGAGTTTAGTTTTTCCATGAATGGTATAAAAATTCAGTTTTTCCATGAATGGTAAAAGTTCAGTTTTTCCATGAATGGTAAAAGTTCAGTTTTTCCATGAATGGTATTAAAGTTCAGATTTTCCATCAATGGTAAAAAAGTTCAGTTTTTCCATCAATGGTATAAAAATTCAGTCTTTCCATGAATGCTAAAAGTTCAGTTTTTCCATGGTTTCTACATGGTAAATCTTTAAAAACCCTTGAAAGCTCATTATTTGAAAATTTTTTTCCTGTGATATACGGCTACTATCCATCACCACATTTCTATAAGCTTATTATTATTATGGATATTTATAGCATTATCATTTCGTGCTTGATTTAGGAGCTGATTACATGGACATTTTCAACTCGGGTAAAATTTCAACCCAGTCCGGACTACGTAAAAAACCTTGTAAAACAAAGCTCCTGACAAAGTTTCAACCCTAATACAAATTTCAGCTCGGGTTGAAATTTCATCCTCCGGGGTTTGAAGTACCCCGGATGAAAGTTTCATCTCCGTTGACCGGCTTGAAAAATCGTAATGTACAATCGACAAGAAATTTCAGCCTGGGTTGAAAAACAATCGATAAAATATGTTTATGTGGCTTAATTTTTGTGGCTAATGCAACCATAATCTCGCACGCGAAGTCACATATTCGACACAAGCAATGTTTTTAATGATTTTAAAAAGGAAACAGCTCTCTTTCGAGACTAAAATTTTAAGCTCAGCCCGAGCGGAAACTTGCTATGTAAAATAATTTCAGCTCGGTTAACTGGATTGGAATTCAGTCTGGGTTGAAACGTCTTCATGCAATTGGCCTCCCATACATCTTTTATTACGTAAATGTGTGCTGCCTTTTCCCTTTCAATGCTAATGCTAAACAAATCAATTGCCCTTGTCTATACAATTACTGCTATGACTATATGTTCTTATTTATTTAAGGAATATTTCACACTTATTTATTTAATTATATATATAGTTTGTTTTAATTGTTATGATTATTATTGTTACTTTACGCGGAGTATTGATAATATGAAATTACAGTTATATTATGTGCGCGATTATTGATCCAAACAAGCGGTTAATTGTAAATTACTTTAAATTACAGTAGATTTACAATTGTTCAATTAGTTCAATATCTATACATGCATGCGACGGGTAGCCTATATACAATGCATGATATGGATTTTTTCAAATGTTCATGGCTACACAGAAAAATATTTTGCTCATAATAATAGCCTGCAATAGTTTCCCTTAATATTATTTTGTGTTTTTTGCCTGTAAGATAATGCCTGTAATGTGTGGCTGTATTCTCTGACCGTGTAAGAAGTGTTAAATCCTTGTTATCAAATGCATGTTTATGTTTACATATAAACATTTTCATAACCAATGCCCCGATTATCCAACAAACTATTGCGTGGTAAACCGCGCTCTACCACCGACACAGCAAAGAGAGATGGACTTATTTTATGAGAAAGAAACATCAAGACGGTTATCAAAATCACTCCTACAAGATCAAAGTTTCAATTTCAATTAGGTTAAAATTCATGATGTCTGGATGGCTGTTGAACATACACGCCTTCTTTCTAGCTGCGGGAAGCCTTTCTCGACAAGACCAGCTCATGACCTTTTCGTGGCCTAACAATAGGAAGGCATAATGAAGTTGCAGGTGAAACGGCTGAGACCAGAAGTGAAGCATGTGCTGCATGCATGATGTTATACAAGATTCATCAATTTCATCACTCTCACGTGAAGTCATACTGCGAAGTACAGCCAAAAACCAAGATAAAGCCCGGCTAAACATCAGGGGCCGGGAGTATGAAGGCGGGATAGTAATTTTTTCAAACTTTCTGAAACTGTCTGTTGATGGTACAACCCAGATTAACTGAATTGATCATTCATAAATTAAAGTTTCTGTTTATTAATTGCGAAGTCCATAGCATATCCACAGTTTTATAGCGTTTCAAGGAATTTTTCAACGGATGAAAAGAAACCCAGCTTCAAAGAGAAAAAATTTCGGAACCGGCAGTAACATTCACTTTTAGATTTGAGAGTTTTTCACCAAACGCATCGAGCTACCTGAATACCAACACACCCTCACTTTACAGACAGCACGGAAATGGAATATCTTCACGGCACCTGTAATTGTATTCTCAACAACTGGTTTAACGGGAAGGGAGACTGATATTGACTATAAATGCCTGGCGGAATTACTGGCAAAAAAGGAGGGCGAATATGGCATCACATTGGCATGGATATATAAGATCACCGGCCGGCCAACAGTCGACCTGTAGCAGGCCTCGAATTTCCCTGAAATCAATCGACGGCAATGGTGCTAAAAATTGCCGTAGAACGTAACAGCTGTCTACGGCAATTTTGGCAGTTTCCACGGCATTTTTCAAATTACTGTAAAAACTGAACTTTAATTTTATTGTTACTTTGGTTTTTGACAAGCTATAGAAACATGTCTACGTATTTCTTCAGTGTTTTTTTTTCGAAGAAAACTGAGACTAAAACGCATTATTTGATCAACATCTGAATTCAAGTATCAAAAATTCAAAATAGTAATGCACAGTGAATAGTATAAAAATTGCACTATACGGCAAAAAATTGCCGTCGTTGCTGCAATGATCCACCGCATTTTGTTCTCCCTCTACGGCAATTGCCGCGATAAAATTCGAGCCCTGACCTGTAGTAACAAGTCTAAACCCAGTGTTTTAGTGAATCAGTATGAGAATCAATTCAAAAGATAAAGTTTTAATCCTTTTTTTGTGGCCTTGAACACACCATAAAGGAGGGACTGGTGATGACAACGTCTTTAAAACACTTCGCTATCATAGCATCGCCAATAATAGAATTGGGAATTGAAATAACCTCTCATATAAGAAGAAATGCACTTAAGGTAAATATTTGCAAAATTGCATTATTTGTGCAGAAAATGTTTTAACTTGAAATCATCATACATTATACTGTGCATGCTAAGACAATTTCCAATACAGAAACAAGGCTGCTTCAAGTTTAGTTTTGGAAATCATTAGACATTATAGAGATCTACCCTGCACGAGTCTAGGCGGTCATTTATTACCTCCACCTGAAGGTTATGTTTTTATTCGCATTTCTGTGTGTCTGTGTACGTTTGTCAGTCGACAAAATGACTAAAAATATATTACTGAATTGTATTACTACGAACATATGTGAAACTAATGGACATGGTCCAAGGGAAGAACGAATAAATTTTGGTTAAATTTGCATGAAAAGTCGATGAGAAATTAGTAAAATTTGTATTGCTCTGCCGGGCCACAGTAAACAGAATGCAGTAATTAGCATGTTGTATAATTTATGCAAGACACATAACTTAATTCACTGATGGAGATATGCAGTCTGCGAGTGCTCTCTAGTACCACAATACTTTTAATCCCGGAACAAGGTGTGCCAATGCTTTAAGTTTACTTTTGGGTGTTTCATTTTCCTCACTTTCTTCATCACTTGATGTTTCATTTTCCTCACTTTCTTCATCACTTGATGTTTCATTTCCCTCACTTTCTTGATCACTTGATGTTTCAGTTTCGTCACTTTTTATCTTTGAAAACCAAATCCATCTTAAGTTAGGCAAGGTTGGCAATACGTCAGTTAAAGCATCTAGACCTGCTAGGGTGATCTTAGAGCGCTTTAAGTCAAGTTCCTTTAAATATTTCAATTTTCCTACAGCATGAAACAGGTGTTTCTGGCATTCATCATCAAACTCAATATTTCCAAACACTAGCTTTTCCAACAACTGCAGTGATGGTAACACCTCAGCTAAAGTTACAGCGTCAGTTTGGGTAATCTTAGACAACCGGAAAACAAGTTCCTTTAAATATTTCAATTTTCCCACAGCATGAAACAGGTGTTTCTGGCATTCATCATCAAACCCAATATCGTCCAACATTAGCTTTTCCAACAACTGCAGTGATGGTAACACCGCAGCTAAAGTCACAGCGCCAGTTTGGGTAATCTTAGAAAACCATAAATCAAGTTCCTTTAAATATTTTAATTTTCCTACAGCATGAAACAGGTGTTTCTGGCATTCATCATCAAACTTAATATGTAACGCCCTCTCAGTCGTTTATCTTGGGTTGCTATGCATGTTAGTCGCCCGCTTTTAGGAACTTAAGATTCGCCAAGTGGCATGCTTACAGTCGGCACACAAGTCGTAAGTACTGCTATATTTTGCTGTATATTTTGAATCTTCCTTTTGTAATTTTAGCTTATTTTGTTTATATTGTAGTTTGACGGTTCGTAGAAGATAAATATAGTACACTTTTAAAGTCCTGTCGTCACAGTTGTTGTGTATCTATAACTATAAGATAGCTTGATCGGTTATCGGCCATAAATCCATACGAGCCGTAAGACCTGTGTCGTATTTGCACTACCAAGACGGTAGATACAGTCAAAGACTTGTCTATAGTAGCGAGAATATTCTACAATGAGCTTTCGTAGTCACGAAACGAGCGAAAATATCGAAAACCCGCTCGTAGAGCCAAGCGAAGCTATACTACACGATGCAAAACAAGATGCCTGCGAACAGGCAACTACAGCACAGGAAACCCGAGAGCGTAAAATGACAGAGAAAGGTAGAGAATATGTCTGTTCGTTGAAAAGAAAAGCAGCCCTCGATATCAAGGAAGAGTTTTTGAAAGAACTGTTTAATTTTGAGAAAAAGATTGCAGATTTCAATGGTGTTGTTGAACTTAATAAACAAATAACATTGTCATCAGGGAAAATGAATTTTGTTAGCAAGGCCCTTGATGAATGGTTGAAATTATCCTTAGATGAGAATGAAATTCGCGAAGTCATAGAAATGCGTACATTTCTGTCCGATAAATTGTTGAGCACCCAGAGCTGGGCTCAAGAATATGCAGTGAAGTTTAGTCAGCAAAAGCAAGAAACAATTTCTACAACATCCCGACGAAGTAGTAGCAACAGCAGCCATATAGACACCTTAGTTAACCTTAAAGCAAGAAAAGCAGCTTTAGGAAAAAGAATGCAATATTTTCAGTTAATATCCGAGCAGGAACGTAAACTTGAGCAGCTAAAGATGCAGGGAGAATTTGAGGAAGTCTCAGCACAAGAAAGTGTGTATGAAACGCTTACTGAAACAGGAAACATTTTGGGTACCATTTCTAATCCAGCCCTGCCCACAGAGAAACACAATATCATGTCCACCTTTCTTGAAGAAGCCACCAACATAGCCAGCATTCCCACAGAACAAAGAGTGCCGGAGGCCACAGTAGAACAAGATGAGCCACGCGCAGTACATCCCTTTCCCGAGGCACTGATCCAATCTCCATACCAACCTGTTGAGGATCGACCGGATTCATTATCAGAAATCGATAGTGTATCTCAAGTACAACCCCCATTCCACGCAGAACAGCCCTCACCTCAAGTGCAATACCCTCTCCACACAGAACAGTCCCCACCTCAAGTGCAATACCCTCTCCACACAGAACAGTCCCCACCTCAATTGCAACGCCCTTTCCACACAGAACAACACTCACCTCAAGTGCAACACCCTCTCCACACAGAACAGTCCCCACCTCAAGTGCAACGCCCTTTCCACGCAGAAGAACACCCACCTCAAGTGCAACACTCTCTCCACGCAGAACAGTCCCCACCTCAAGTGCAACGCCCTCTCCATGCAGAACAGCCCTCACCTCAACTGCAGCCCCTATTCCAAGTGCAACTCCCACTTCACATAGTACAACCCCCACCTCAAGTGCAACACCCTCTCCACACAGAACAGTCCCCACCTCAAGTGCAACCTCCACTCCACACAGTACACCCCCACCTCAAGTGCAACACCCTCTCCACGCACAACAACCCCCGCCTCAACTGCAGCCCCCATTCCAAGTACAACCCCCACTTCACAAAGTGCAGCACCCACCTCAAGTGCAACGACACCTCTACGCAGAACATCTCCCACCTCAACTGCAGCCCTTATTCCAAATACAACCCCCATTCCACACAGTGCAGCCCCCACCTCAAGTACAGCCACCACTCCACGCAGCTCAGTTCCCACACTATGCAAGTAACCTATCCATTCCATTTAATTCCCCAGGTACCCTTGGGAGCCAGCCGAATCTCCACCCAACACCAATGACTCTTCACACCACACCACCACAAGATGTATCGAATCGGATAGCTGACGCCCTCGTATGCAAAACCAACAGCAGCGTCTTCCCCAGAGCAAACCAGGGATCTTCACGGGATCGGAAGAAGACAAAACCACTTTCTTCCTGTGGCAAAATGCCTTTGATGCTTTAGTAGACTCTGTTCATATACCTGCCAAGCAAAAGTTGTACTTATTAAATCAACACTTGGCCGGAAAGGGGAAAAAGGTTGTCGAGCAGTTGCAATACATGGTTGAACAGCCAGAAGTTGCTTATACTGAGGCTCGGAAGATACTTAAAGAAAGGTTTGGGAACAACGGGATAATTGGTGTAAATTTTGAAAAACGCTTGGCTACTTGGCCTAAAATAAATCCTGGTGATGCTGGTGCATTGCAAGAATTTAGTGACTTTCTTCGTCAAGTTCAAATTGCAAGCAAGCACATAGTGAGTTTGAAAGTCTACAACTATCCCTCACAGATACAACCACTGGTAGAGAAACTCCCTAGCTGGTACAAGTCGAAGTGGTCTGAGAGAGTGATGAAATTTCAAAAGGTCAATGGAAAGGAAACATTCCCTTCATTTGAAGAGTTTGTAAACCACGTGAGTCACGAGGCAGAACGAGCCAACATCCCTCAGCTATCTCCTATCACCGTATCCACACCTAAGAAGGCTAGAGATACAAGCAGGCGCCGCCCGCCTGCAACCTTCATTACTGCTCTTGCATCATCAGCATATGAATCAGGCTCTCACGATTCGTCACCATCCGATATCTTAGACTACCCACTAAACCAACGATGTTCTGTTTCTACCACGAAAGATCTTCTAATTCTTTAAAGGACTGTGAAAAGTTTCAGAAGTTAGGTTTTCCTGAGCGCAAGGAATTTATAATGTCCCATCGGATTTGTCTAAGGTGTGTAAACTCGGACAAGCACATTGCTAGAAACTGTGACCAAAAGGAAGTAGAATGCAAGATTTGCAAAGGGAAACATTCCACGTGTCTTCATAATCCAGCGAAACATGACAGTAATAATGATGACCAAGTAAAGACTTCTTGCACGAAGGTTTGCGGGGAGAATCAAGCGGGACGATCCTGTGCTAGAATTATCCTTCTTCAAGTATTCCATCAGGATGATCCCACATGATGATCCCACACGGGTACCCACCTACGCTGTATTAGACGATCAGTCTACCGATGTCTTTGTGACAGATGCCTTGTTGGAAAAGATTAACACTGGCGGCCCTCAGATTTCGCTTGAAGTCAACACCATTGTGGGAGTTAACAGCATCCACACCCGTAAGGTATCTGGTCTATGCGTGCGAGACGTCGAAGGTCGGCATCAACCCATGAAAGTAAACCATGCTTATTCAAGAGAAGATATACCAGCAGATAAGAACGACATCGCAACACCCAAAATTGCCCACCAGATTGCACACCACATTCACTACCGCCCTGACGTAGAAATCGGGATGCTTATAGGCCGTAACGTTCCCACTGCATTTCAGCCGCTTAACATTATCTACGGGATAGAAGACGAGCCGTGGGCATAGCAATATAAATTCGGATGGACAATAATTGGAAGAGTATGTCTAGACAACAACCCAAGCAGAAATAAGGCAACAGTGAATTGCGTCTCTGTTAACGAGAAAGAAGATCGTCGTGAAACCAAACTGGAAGACCACGCACGTGTCGTAGATAGCTCCCGGAGTAAAGACATGACGTCACCGAAAGAGATAAAAGAAATGATGCAGCTGGACTACAATGAACTCCACTACGGTCGTAACGTTCGCGGCACAGAACAAACAGAGTCTGCAGAGGACGTGCGTTTTAACAAGATCCTAACTGAAGGCATTCACAAAAACGCCCAGGGCAATTGGCAAATGTCCCTCCCTTTCAAAGCGGATGAGATACGCTTGCCAAACAATCGGGAATATTGTCTGACTAGGTTATTGAGTCTCAAGAAGAAGATGCAGAAAGATGAGAAACTGTGCACGGACTATGTGCAATTCATAGAAAACACCATCAACCGCAATCACGCTAGCCGAGTACCAGACGAAAAATTACAAGTGTCAGAAGGACGGGTTTGGTTCCTTTCCCATTTCCAGGTATATCACCCCAAGAAACCAGATAATATAAGGGTGGTGTTCGATTGCAGTGCTGTTTATCGAGGCGATTCCCTTAATAAACACCTTTTACAAGGTCCTGATTGGATGAAAGCTCTGGTGGGCGTTTTATCGCGGTTTCGAAAAGAAGAGGTTGCAGTTTCTTGCGACATCGAGCAAATGTTTCACAACTTTGCAGTGAATCCCGAGCACAGAGATTTTCTGAGGTTTCTCTTGTTCAAGGACGGTGATATAAACCAACGCATAGTTGAGTATCGCATGAATGTTCATTTGTTCGGAGCTGTGTCATCCCCTGGTGTAGCAAATTTTGGGCTCATGGCTACAGCAAAGGAAGGTAGCCAAGAATTCGGCGAAAATGCCAGAGATTTCCTTGAGCAAGAGTTTCACGTTGATGACGGCCTCAAATCCTTTGCGAACCCAGAGGAACCGATAACTACAGTCAAGAATGCGCAAGCCACCTGTGCATCCGCCAACCTTCGACTTCATAAGTTTGTTAGCAACAACAAGGTCGTCCTGGAGGCAATATCGAACGGAGATCGTGCGAATGACCTAAAAGATTTAGATCTACGTCACGACGCTTTACCAATCCAACGTTCCTTGGGAACCTACTGGTGCATCGAGTCCGATACCCTGGGATTCCGAATACAGATCAAGGACAAACCCTGTACACGCCGTGGTATGCTGTCTACAGTGTGTTCGGTATACGATCCGCTCGGAATAGTGGCGCCAGTAATTCTAATTGGAAGACAAATACTTCAGGATTTATGTCGAGACAACTATGGCTGGGCCGATCCTGTTCCAAACGAGCTCCTCAGCCGTTGGGAAAAATGGAGATCCGACCTTCACCTAATCGAGCAACTAAAGTTACCTAGATGTGTCAAACCAACTGGCTCTGGAAAACCTACCAAAATTGAAATACATAGTTTCTCTGATGCAAGCGATGTAGTAATTGGACAAGTTTCAAATCTACGCTTGACAAATGCCGAAGGTCAAATACGCGTGAGTTTTCTCATGGGAAAGGCACGCGTGGCTCCCTTGAAGTTGATGTCAACCCCCAAAATGTAACTCACAGCGGCCGTAGTATCAATAAATGTTTCCAGCATGCTCATGTTATAAAGAGACCGAAGAGTTCTACCATACCGACTCCACAGTAGTTCTCGGGTACATCAACAATGAAGCAAGAAGGTTCCACACTTATGTCGGAAATCGAGTGCAGTACATCCGTGACAGATCAAAACCTGAACAGTGGCGACACGTTGCTGGAGAACTTAATCCAGCAGACGAAGATTCACGTGGTCTTACAGCGACAGAATTGCTACAGAATTCCCGTTGGTTCGTCGGTCCCGAGTTTCTGTGGCAAGAAACCGAGCAGACCCACCCACAACTCAGAGTCGAGCTAGATCCCAACGACCAAGACGTCAGGAAGGAAGTGACCACAGTGCTAACCACCCAACAAGTCAGGAGAGATTTCCCAAAGGTCCTTGAAGCAGACCGTTTCAAACACTCCTCTTCCTTCTATCGATTAAAGCGAAGCATCGTATGCATGCAGCGAATGATCGAAAGAAAACGATCTGACAAACAATACAATTGGAGAATACAAGAAGGACCACCAACTGTTAGAGAGCTTGAAGAAGCGGAGAAATCAATCTTGAAATCTATTCAGTACAAACATTTTTCTGCCGAGGTTGATGATATGCAAAGGCTAGCCGGTAACGAGTACATCTCTCAAGATAGACAATCCGCCAAAGTGAGGAACTCCGCTTTGAAACGTACGTCAAGTTTGCACAAGTTGGATCCCTTCCTAGACGGTGAAGGTATTCTCAGAGTCGGCGGCAGGCTAAAAAATGCAACAACGCCTTACGAAGTTAAATACCCTGTACTCATCCCCAAGAACGACTACGTGACAAACCTGCTGATACGACACCGTCACGTTGCCCAGAAACACCAAGGATACGGTATAACCCACAACGGAATAAGACAAGCAGGATACTGGGTCATTAACGGACGTACAGTAATATCACACGCCATCCATGGCTGCGTCACGTGTCGAAGATTACAAGGCAAGTCCATAGAACAGAAAATGGCAGACCTACCAAGCGAACGTGTAAATCCTGCACCACCATTTGCATATACCGGCATGGATGCTTTTGGCCCGTTTTTTATTAAAGAAGGCAGAAAAAAGCTCAAGAGATGGGGTATCATCTTCACGTGCTTAGCCTCTCGAGCAGTCCACCTAGAAACCCTCAATTCGATGAACACAGACTCATTCTTAAACGCGTTAAGAAGATTTATTAGTCGACGTGGCAACGTACAAGAATTACGATCAGACCAAGGCACAAATTTCATTGGTGGAAGAAACGAATTGACAGCAGTACTCGAAAGTCTCGATAACGATGCTATCAAAGGATTCCTCTCCAACAAAGGCTGCGATTGGATCAAATGTGCGATGAACGTGCCCTTGGCTTCTCGCATGGGAGGTGCTTGGGAAAGACTTATTCGTACTGTGCGCTCTGTGCTTTCAACACTTTTGTTTAGCCATGGAACACAGCTCGACGATGAGTCGTTAAGAACTCTGATGACAGAGGCAGAGAGCGTGGTGAACAATCGTCCATTGACGGTGTGTAACTTGTTAGAGTCGGGAACGCACATGTAAATCTGACATAATCCTACAGCCACCAGGCGAATTTACGAGACCAGACCTCTACAGCCGCAAGAGATGGAGAAGAGTACAATATTTGACCAATCAGTTTTGGCAAAGATGGCGAAAAGAATACAGCAACATGCTACAGTGCGAAAGAAAAAAGTGGACACGTCAGCGCAGGAATAGCAGAGTAGGGATATTGTCATCGTGCGTGACGACGATCTTGCCAGAAATAACTGGCCACTTGGAAAAGTCGTAGAAGTCTATCCCAGCGACGACGACCTCGTACGCAAAGTACGAATCCTCGTAAGTCATGGAGGTAAATTGAGTCATTTGGACAGACCTGTGCATAAATTGGTTCTTATCGTTGCCCAAGAAGATGGTGAAAAAGAGAACATTTGATCCCAGAGCAGACCGAGACCGGGCATGGTTCCCCATCGAGGAGCCTTTCGTTAGATAAATATTTAACAAGAGACATTACAGTGAACTTTATTAGATTAGGACAAGAAACATCAAACTTATTGCATGTACGTTCATATTTGTTAGTTGTTCATACGATTATCATTGTCTGAGGGAGCCATGTTACTCCCTCTCAGTCGTTTATCTTGGGTTGCTATGCATGTTAGTCGCCCGCTTTTAGGAACTTAAGATTCGCCAAGTGGCATGCTTACAGTCGGCACACAAGTCGTAAGTATTGCTATATTTTGCTGTATATTTTGAATCTTCCTTTTGTAATTTTAGCTTATTTTGTTTATATTGTAGTTTGACGGTTCGTAGGAGATAAATATAGTACACTTTTAAAGTCCTGTCGTCACAGTTGTTGTGTATCTATAACTATAAGATAGCTTGATCGGTTATCGGCCATAAATCCTTACGAGCCGTACGTAAGACCTGTGTCGTATTTACACTACCAAGACGGTAGATACACCCCCTTTGAGATCATTGAATATCCGGTAAATAGTAGCCAATCAAAGTAAGTTTTGTTAATTAGATTACCAGAGGTTATTAACAACAACAAACTGTTTCTCGCGCAATTTTACGCCTGTACCTTTCACTAGGATTCCAAGGTCTAAACTTTAATCTAAAATAATGCATGGTCGTTTTTTCCCTAAAGTGTTCTAATATTTAAAACATAGTTCCGTTTGTATATTGCTGTCTTGTTCGTAAACATTGCCGTTTTAAATTATGTAACTATACTATAAAATATAACTGTAACTAAATATATAAAATTTTATTCTCTATTAGTTAATGTATTTTATACATTTATTTCCAAAATATAACTGTAAGATTTAAGGAAACGTATTTAGGTTTTGAACAAACACTATTTATTAAAAGTGTCGAACAATAGCAGGCTAAGAAACAACATTAATCATTATTGCGTGAAGTCTGTCATTTGCTCAATAATACAATTAACTCAATAGACAATTCGAAAACCCGTGGCCGCGGCATCGCTTCTGCCGTGTTTAATAACTACATTTTTTGGTAAAAAGCTCTTGTAATAATATATGTCACTAGTTGAGACTACCAAAAAGAAAGTCTCGAAGAGAGAGCGGACTTCGGTCAAAGAACACGCAAACGACTATTGCAAAATTTCCAGGCGTAAATTCAAAGTGCCCAGGTGTTCTAAGAACGACTTTCCTCGACGGCGTCTGTTTTAATAATTTGCCCATTGTCTTGGCTTAATCAAGACCAGATTGTTGAGGCAGAAAGCCTTGGGTTGACAGGGAAGTATTTGGGAGAAATGTTCGGAGGCATTTGACAATCAACTGCTTTATACTAGTGGATTCACTCCCTGTGTCTCAACGAACGTCTCGCTGGGCTAAGTTGTCAACGTTTGAAAACACACACAAAAGTCTCGAAGATTTCTGCCGCAAGTGATGCAAACGCGGTTAGATAAATTGTCAGCCTGAACAAGACTTATTTTACCCTCTCTGCAAAGATCAGCAAGGCATACGTCGAAGTTTTCCCTTGTACTTCTTTGGAAAAGGTTTATAGCTAACGAACACAAAGTATTGGTATATTAAACTTTTATCAAATCCCCTTGGAAATACAGTTAATATTGCTAGCCTTCGCTCATCCTTCAACGTTAATTTAAATTGAAAGTTTCTCAAATGCATCCAGTTACTTCTTCGAAGAGATAAACAAAGTCATGATTTAATACGCCACTGATTGAATGCCAGCTTTAAAATTACATTGCGCAATGTCGTACGAGTTAAATATTTGCACGATATTAACTCATGGGGCACTTCTGACCAATGGGAATTTTGCGTACACTCCGTACGCATAAATCGACTTTTTACTAATAAAGGTCGCAGGCCGTTCCTCCCAGCCTCTGCCTAACAACGGCCTGCGAGCAGGCTAGGTCGAGGGCTACTTAGACCGGCATTCCTCGCGGGCTTCTATGCTTGTGACTTCATTATGCATAAGGTCAATTTAACACGCAAAGGTGTCTACTTATACGGGCAATTACCTTAATTGTATTAAAATGAAATTCGCGTCGTACTTATATTCGCTCAGCTTTAAATTCGCGCTATTTAATTTCGCACACCTTGTTGAGACTTATTGAGGCAGCTTTAAATTCTCGCAAGTAATTTTGCATGTTCGTTCTTTTGGATTTGTTTAATTAATAGAGCTATTAACACTTAGCGCATTTATAATGAGTATTTTTTTAAGAAAAGCGATTAGGTGGCCTCAAGAATGGCTTCAAAATTATGTAATGTAAGCAAAATTCATGATAACAATAAAGTGTGTGTTCAAAATGCAAACAAGGACTAAATGAGTTATTGTATGGTTCTCGTTTGCGTAATACAATAACAATAATTTTTATCACCATTCCCATACATTATATACGTTCGTAAATGGTTTTGCATAACATTATATTTTAAAAGTCAAACAAAAGTTTAGATAAAGTGACCCTCTTTTCGTTGTGACTCCTCCAATTCCGGCGCTTGCACCTGGTTGTTGTCAACCTTTGACGACAATATCAATGTTTGGAGGATCTACAGCAACACACTTCGTGGAACATGAAAATATCACGACTGAAATTGTCCAGGATGAAGCCATTTTTTATTTTTAATGTTACCAGGACAACTTAAAACATATGCCAAATGTGTATATGCGTTAATAAATCAACTGATTCGCATTACTAACAATGAGTGCCTCATATTACACCACAAAGCTTTTCGCGTGGGTTATATTTCGCGCAGTACTAAAATTCACGCACCCAAGTAAGGTGTTGTTATTTGTTAAAACTGCGCTGTGTACTTTATTTTTTTACTCGTTGTTGGCTTGTTCATATTCAGTATATTGTATTCAAAATTCAAAGGAACTTATGCAGCCATTCAAATTTCGGATTTTAAGATTCGACGCACTAATTCAACACGAAAGAAAGCCCCAAGTGCGACACAGTCTGTAATACACTGAAATATATAGACCACTGTAGCACTGTAGCAAATGACGCCCCCTCCAAGAAAAAAAAGAACAGAAAGTTCACCATCTTCGAGCATGCTTTCCAAGAAAACACTTGCTCTTTCGGTTAGTGGAACAAACTTTTACCATTGAAATGAATAAAACTGAAACGGTACCTCCGGTGGGAAATTTGAAGCCAAACTTGAAGCCCAGTCACAGTTTTTTTTCACGCATGCAGAGAGCGCATTTGATCCGACAAAATGACTATGTATTCCGGCAAACCGCCATATAATTTACAAGAAAAGGCTGTTTAGCAGCGCTCAAAGCTTTCTGTTAATGAATTCATTCGGAAAAACTTCTTTGTAGAACTTACTATTAGTTTTCCTTCTTATTTTTTCCTGATTATTGTTTATTTAGAGAGCTTTTTTTCAGCGACAGGAGCGTGCCGAGGTAGAATTTCAAGACATAGGCACGCATGTCTTAAGCCCACACACGCGTCTCTATGGGTCGGATTTGGATTAATTATAGAAAAATATAGGCTATCTATCTGAAGGCAGTGTTCCAGTTATAGTCATTTCAACGCCCTTTACCAATTCGCCTAGTTTCACCCCATCGCGGGCTTCATAATGGCCACTCCCTAGCTAGTCCCACTCTTGTCAGGGAAGCAGGACGTAATCAGCATAAATTCAAATTAATTTTTTACTTAACTGGGTCTGACGCATACTCGCTGAATTTTGTATTCTTGTTCAACCGATTTTCCACCGCATAACAGGAGTTATAATTATTAAAATATTATTGAGTTATTTAAAGTATTCTGTCTGGATTACTCAAGCTGTAAATACGTATAAATCAAGCGACGCCAACGATATAATATTTAAGTCTTCTAACAAGACATTAAAGCCCACAAATTCCATGACATAAACTCGAGGGCGTATTATATATGATGGCGAAAGCGAAGCCCTTTCCCGTTGATATAATATATTCACGCCCAGTTCATTAGCGTTACTCAGTGAAACATGAGAGCTTTTATGATTGGAGTTTTTTCGCAATACCTAACTAAAAATACATCCATGTGACAACCACACGCCTTTATTTTTCAGAAATTGTTTCCACATGAAGTATCCCAACGTCATCAAGTTTATATTAGTGTCAGATTAATATTAAAATGCGGTTAGATTAAGAATAGATTAGATTAGGATTAGAAGTTACGGTTAGTATTAGTTTGAATATTATGATTGAGAGCAATGGAGCTGTGCGCCATTATGGATCAATTTTGAATCTCTTTGATAATATCCATCATATGTTACATGAACGAATATACATTCCATTGACATTCACCGTCATTTCTAAATGTTTCCCTGTATTGATGATGCAATTCGAAATATAGAATAGCAGCAAAACAAAGAGATTTGCGCTCAGATTAATCACTGGCTGTCAAGATAAAACTTGGCGCAATCTCAATGGACCTATTCCCTAGTGAACAAAGTTTTTATCTACACAAGTTTAGACAAAAATTTCATCACAGCTTTCGTTGAAAAATGTTGTAAAATGCGGGTAATATAGCCCTGCGAAGTTTGCCGTTTTTCGATCATTTTGTATTATGCGCGGGAAATTGATACTTTTTTCAGAAAGCCGTATCAATTTCCCATGCGTAATACAAAATGAGTGAAAAACGGCAAACTTCGCAGGGTTATATTATCCGCATTTGACAACATTTCGCGACGAAACTTCGGAATATTACTAATTTTGTGATGCTCTTTCAAGCTGGGATGAAATTTTTGTCTAGACTTGTCTAGATCAAAATTTTGTTCATTAGGGAATAGGTCCATTGTGAAGCAACATGCATATCGTGGATAATCCAAGATGGCGGCATCAGTCAAATATTTTTCGGAATGTTTTCAGTCTTTCAAAAATCAAGCAAATAATGAAAATGCTGCAAAAGTCTTAATAAACAATTTTTGGAGCTCTATCAAATGAGCCTGACTAACTGCCAATGTTTTTTTTACCCAGAATTATTTTGAACCCAATTTTACACTTTGGAGTTAATTTGTTTCAAAATCGCCAGTCAAGTGGGAGTTAAATTAATTCCCTGCTTGACTTTGTATTATTTTTAATTTCTAACTGTGTTTCGAAAGTTCAATTTGGTTTCAGTACTGATGTAGTATGATTTCGGTATCGCATATTAAAACGGCGTGATATCATGTTAAATACTCGTACTCCGGATCAAGCAGCTATAATTATTACTGGCAGCGGTTCTGTGCTTACAGTTTTTTGCAGAATTTATTTTGACTTGCAGTTTTACAAAAAATGTGCAGTTTTAAATCCATTTCTGCAATTCTTAAAGAATCACAGTCGACCGAGATGCTTTCTACGCGCTTAAATTTTTGATTAGTGTTTTGTATTCTGCCATTCTATTAGCCACTTTAGTGACGAAAGATTGACATCCGAAGCGTATCCCTATCAATCTGCATCATTCTTAAACGATGTCATTATGTCATACTTTTCATAGCTGGAATATGTTAATAGATCATTGATATGGTTGAGATTTTGGCGTGCGTTTTTTTCTTTAGAAAGTTTTCAGTCAATTTATAGGGTAGATGGCTAATCATGGCTTCTGTATTTCCCGTTCGTGGGAGACTAACAAGCGAAGGTATACCGAAAGAATATCGCTGACCAGTTCAACAAAACTTGAACAACCGTCCTTTGGACTGAAAGAAAAAAAGCCTGAGAATATAAGGGCTTTCGCATAGCAAGTTTGCCAAAATACTGCTCCATCAAAGCATGGACAAACTGCGTGAACATAGTAGGCGATAGGGCTGGGATCTGGATTTCATGAAAACACCAGCGGGTAAATGTGGTAATTTGACACTATTTTTAGCTCCCCGTATATGTAAACATTCACCTAGCGCGCAAAGCATGACGGTCGAATGTGATTCTTTAATATTAAAACACAAATGTGCAGTCACCAAATTAACGAAAATACAACCTTAAAACAGTTTCCTTGTTTTCGTTGTGTATGTTCCAGAAAATGCCCTAAATGCTGTCAAAAATATAAATATTTTCTGGGAGACGAGCGAAACCCTGAAAAAGATGTTAATTGTGGGAGAACCAAAATTGAATGAAGAATATTCATGAATCCAAGTTACATGCATGTTTTCAAACAGTAGATAAAAAAACTTTGCCAGCTAAAAATTATTGTGGAACGCCTACCATGCCATAGCTCCCCCACACAAAATCGAGTTTTTCTGACCTTTGCTCCACCCAATCACACCTTTATTCTTCGACCAATATGCAGATTAAGAGTCTATCATAATTTACAACTATTAACGTTAGATATCTAATCCCCAGTCAAACACGTGATGCTTCATGGCATTCCTATTTTTGCAGTTCTAAATTTTTCGCTGATTTTTTCGGTGCACCACCACTACGTATTTTCAGAATTTGGATCTACAACATGGCCACAACAATGTGTGGCATTATTAAGAAGGTATACGCAGTTCTACTCTCGACTTGCAAGGAGCTTTTTCGGGCTAATTTGCGTATATTCTACCACGGTTAATAGAAAGAGGATGGTTAGGCTAGATGGACCAGGTGACAAATATGTTATTGTTCTTTTTTTATTTATGTCACGTGACGAGATAGTGGGTCGCTTCGCAGGGGTGTAATAGAAAATATATTGTTGACATGGCTTTGGTGATGTATCAATTTACGTATTTTCGATTGTACGCCTGATTTGATCACGGATTTGATTTATACTTTGAAGTTCGGAATGATCTGATCGTATTCACACGTTTTAAAGGTATTTTTTATTGGTTTTGAGATATAACCACGCTATGCAAGTGTATATTTTCTGTATCATATTCCATTCCCAAGTGTTCGAGGATTTTCATATTTAAAGACGATACTTTTGGAGTTTGTCCGGGAAAAACTGCTCTGCTTTTGGTCGTGAGAGTTCCGATAGACACAATGAACGATAAAAGACCTAGTGTTTTTAGGACGACGGATGGAGAACAGCTCGAGTAGAATTGCTAAGGCCGTTATTATTAAAGAGATCTGACCTCGGTGCGAACGTATTGGTGCGAAACAAACAAGTTAAGTAAATTTGAACTAATATTACAAATGTATCAGCCCAAATCATGTGCCTGTGCAGCTAGCCTGCGAGCAGGCTCTCTGGGTGAAAGAGAGCCTGCAAGGATCCCTTTGATGTTCGTGTGCATGCGTCCAATATGCGTCCAATATTTGGACGCAGAGCTCTGATTGGTTGATCATGAAAAATTACGTAATTGATATATCAATCAAATATATAGTGAACCAAGATGGCGGAAAGTAGAAATTCAAATGAATTGATCGAAGAAGCTTGTAGGAAATTGTCAGAGAAACTAAACTTCCCGTTCAAATTAAAAACCGAGCAACGCAATGCATTGGAGTCACTGCTTAACGGGAATGATGTTCTTGCTGTTTTACCAACGGGATACGGCAAGAGTCTGATATTTCAGTTGTATATTTTGGTTGCCCAAATTGAAAGGATCAAAAGAACTGCTTTAGTTGTTTGCCCTTTACGAAGTATCATTGACGATCAAATTGGCGAGGCAAGAGGTTTTGGTATTTCCGTTGCATCGCTAGCTGATCTGTCCGAAGACGAGTTAAAAGCAAGTGAATTCGAACTTTTATTTGGTTCAGCTGAGACAGTTTTGGATAAACGATTCCTGGATATTTTAAAGGACCCCGACGCATCGTTAAACCGCGTTTTGTCTGTAATTGTCATTGACGAATCTCACACGGTGGAAATGTGGACAGGACAAAGGTGTCGTTCTCGTATTATGATACGTAATATAATCAGTTTAATTAATACCTAAAAAAAATTGACAACCTTTGCTTATGTTATGTATTAATGTAAATAATTATAGATTTGTGTTATTATATTTGTGATTTTATGTATTTATAGGTCAAGAGGAAAAAATCTCAGCACCTCCGGTGGTGGCTTTCGTGAAGCATTTGGGAAGTTGTCTACCTTACGGTCGTTTTGTAAGCAAGGTGAGATCCGATATATTACATTGTATATATTATACTGTGTATAAAATATACATGATGTTTATACTAGGAGTGTGTCAACACCGGGCAAGCTGAAATGTTTGCTTGACTGCGGTGGGAATTGAACCCACAACCTTTGGTCAATGACCAACCTCGTAGCTCGGTTGGTAGAGCATTGGACTAGCAAAACCCCAAGATTTTCAGGGAAGAGTTTGAGAACCCCTGCAAATTCTTTGTATTTTTCATCAGTTCAATTTTCAACTGGCCCAAACTCTCTAAATGTCATTGTTTTCAATACCTATTTGGTCACTTGTTCCCTTGACTGCCTCTTGTATTTTTGGCCTCCAATATCTCGTATGTATTAGTTTCCCAATATAATTTACTTTTTTCAGGAACACATGTACTTGCAATAACAGGCACTGCAGATGATGAAACACAAAAGGTGATAATCAAAGGACTGAGCCTAAAACAGACCAAACGGTTTTATGTGAGCCCAAATCGTCCAAACCTTAGAATTTCTGTGATCAAATGCAAAAAGCAGGAAATGTTTACAAACTTGGAATGGCTAATCAGGTTGGTGAAGGAACAAGGAACTGCTACACCAAAATCTATTATATTTTGTAATGGTTCGCTGACTGATATTGCTGCTGTGTTCAACCATATGTTACTACAGTTGGGAAGTTATGCATATTTCCCACAAGACAGCCAAACTTCACCAAACTGTCTTGTAGGAATTTATCATTCCTTGACTTTGCAAAAGTATAAAGACAGGATCACAAACTCTTTTAAGGGCAATGGAAAAAAGAGAATTATTATTGCAAGTTCAGCACTTAGCATGGGAGTAAATTTCCCAGACGTGCGATACGTTATTCATTGGGGACCATCACGTAACATGTTGGACTATCATCAACAGTCTGGTCGGGGAGGGAGAGACAACAAACCCACCCAAGTGCTGACCATTTATTATGGACAACAGATAAGTTTCTGTGAGGAGAATGTCAAAGCATTTCTGCGTACAACCAGCTGTTACAGAATTGAAGCTTATAAGCCTTTTGACAGAAATATTACACCAGTCAAACCTGCTCATGCATGTTGTAGGAATTGTGCAAAAACATGCAAATGCTCAGATGGGGAAAATGAGTGTTCAGAAACGGTACCTGTGTTTGAAGTGGAAAAAAATGATGATGTTTTGCCACCAACTACACATCTTTCCCGACCAATCTCTTCATCTGATAAAGAGGACCTACATGACGGACTACATGAAATGGTTCAGGTAATCCTTCCAACAATGAGGTTATTGAATGAGAACATGTCAGATGGTTATGTTGATGAATTAATAGTTGACATTGTGGATAATGCCCACACTATATTTACCATAGTGGATGTTATAAAATACTTGCCAGTATTTGCTTTTCAACATGCTATCAAAATCCTAGAAATATTCCATGATATATTTGAAGATATACCAAACCTTGATATAATGGTTGAAATGTTTGGCAGAAATGAACCAACTTTATATGACATACCCCAGCCTGTAGAATACACATTTGATGATATTGACTCAGATGACCAAATGGAAACTGAATGTGACTTTGAATAAATGTCATGAGTAAGTACAGGTATTGTATTATATTTAACCAATATAAAACATTTTCCATGTTGACGTAATTCATTACATTACATTATTATTCAGCTCACTTCCCATTGGGGCTTTCCATTGGACCGATTCCATCAAGTAATGTATGACGCTCATGTTACCGATACTTACTATAGCATGACTATTTATCTTTACAACAATTGAGATATAACTTTCCTAACTGTGTTTATCCTAACCCACCCTCGGCTGTCAACTTTCCCTGTGGGAGGAAACCGGAGCGCCCCTCTCTCCTCTGCAGAGCCTCCTTAAGTATTTACAAATAACTTACATGAAGTTTCCTGAATAAAAGTGAGCGTGCGCGGTGATGGTATTTAGCTCTTCCCATCACTCCTTGCACGCTCACTTTTCCCTCACTGGAAACTTTGTGTAAGCCTCTGCAGAGGAGAGAGGGGGAACGCCCAGCTGAGATAACCCACAACTTTCGGCAGAGCGTTGACTGACTCTTTTCACATGAGTCCGTAGCGAGAATCAAACCCACAATCTCAGAGGTGAAAGGCGCTTGCTCTGACTACTGCAAATTGAGAAAGTGGGAATTGGGAAAACAAGAATTGTTTGGAAACACAACACCTGAAGGGTGGAGTGTTTTCACACAATTTTGAATTTTCCCAATTTCCATGAGTGCTGATATAACTTTAAAAAACTCATTAATAATTCATGAAGAAAACACAAAGAAAAATCATAAGCGTGTCGTATCTGTATATGTGATACAGATTCATGTTGATTTACATAAACTTTAACTTTGATTTTCTCGGCTTAGACAACGTTTATTTTTAAAATTACTTCGCCAATGAACTCATAAGATGAGTTGTTTTTTAAGTTGTTTACAACATTCGCGTCCGTGTTGTATCGGATATACAAACTCTCGCCTTCGGCTCGAGTTTGTATATCCGATACAACACGGCCGCTCATGTTGTAAACATTACGTATACCATTACGGAAAAATGTTTTATATTTTTTTATAACATAGCACAAAGAAATGTAATGAAAGAAATTTTATGTGTTGATATTGAGTTATATCAACACAGCTCTTAGCCAATCAGCGTTCAGAATTTACAAATGTTATATTATAAACTTTTGTAAACTATATAAATTTTTGTCATTTACTCTTTCTTGAATATATAGATTGCCATAGTTTCTTTTTCTCAGACATCCATTCATGTAGATTTCTGTAATCTAAATTTACAATCTTGTTTTCAAAGTCAGGAAATGATGCATGGCCATGTCTACCCGGGGTGAATTTGAACGCTTTGATTGATGACAAATCAGATGTGATTTGCATCACTGATTCTGTATTATTGCCACTGGATCTATATCCTTTACGCTCTTGTAAATTACATTCTTTGTCAATAGACTCAATTAGTCTCTCTAGATTCTCTAGTGCTTCAGCTACCCGTGATGCGCTTGCTTTATTTAAATTTGACCCCAGTGCCCTCCAGATGGTTTTCAGAACTTTGTTCTGTTGTTCCTTTTTTAGGTCTAATGAGATATTTCCACCTAGACGACCATATTTGTTATAGAATCTGTTCCACATGAGGTTATGAGCTTCAAATTCAGAATAGATAGCTGCAATTTTAACAAGGTAAAGAAGCACAACATATGAATATTTAGTATGACCCCCAGATTTGTACAGTAGCAATGCCAACTTGTAAATATCACGCAGCCTTTGGCCATCACCCTCTTGTACAGCATCATTGAAATCAAATAGAATCATACCAAACTTAAGCTTTGCACAGTGGTAGTTGTACAGGTGGTCATTGATAATGGGGTCTGGAGTATCATTGACAGAAGTGTCTTCTTCAGGAGTAAATTGTAGATGATTTTTTTTCTCATGCCTAAAATAGCAAAATTATGGTTTAGTCATTTATAACATCATACACATATCCAGTCACATTCTATCAGAAAAAAAAAATATTGACATCCTCATGAATTGCCTTAATTGCCAACTACATGTGGGTGTCGTTGCAATGGGTCGGTTCAGAAAAGAGCCACACTCCCCCCATGGAGGGAGGGGAGAAAATTCATATATAATAATAGTAAATGTCATATTTTCAATCGCTACTCCGGTTTAATTAAATGAATGCAAAGCCTAGTCAAATCAATTAGACATTGTAAGGGGGTTAATCTCAAATTTCCTCTGTGGGAGAGACCTGTATGGATGTTTTCTGTAATGGCCCAATAACATAATGTGGGATATGTATATATTTTTTTGCAAAATTACCTGTTCCTTGTCGCTTTAGTACTAAAGACATGGCCACAATCAGCACGGCAAAAATAGTATCCATACTCATCCCTAATCTGTCCATTTCGATCATTGTTCATTTGATGTGCACTGATCTCATGACTAAAATTGACATAAATATTTTAAAAATTGTTTGTTTTCATTCATTATCATGGATAGTATTATTAGTAATATTTATTATTTACTTGCAATTGCAGATGACTTAATGTATAAAAGATACAGATTAATATGGCTGAGAGTGGATCAAAGGCATATCAAATGCACATCAGTCAAAGCATGGCTACGATATTGGCTGGAAATAACTGGAAATACGTCAACTGACTTACAGTAGTTTTGTATCGAATCTATAACATATAGAATCTCAGCCGGGACAAGTAGAGCTTCTCTACTTGTCTGATATGGTTTCAATTGGAGTAGTACCTAATTAGTATAGGATGTTTTCTATTTCTTAAAGTGGAAGTCAAGTCCGTTCTGCGCATCGGTTCTGTTCATAACAATGTGAGGGCCTCTATTAAATGTGAACATTGCCCTAATTTCGAATGTTTCGATTTTTTATGAACATAAACTCTATTTCATATTCATTTAGAAGCATAGCGAACCAAAATGGTGTTAGATATTCAGACAGCACATCATATTTTAAAAAATACATCAGTTCAAAATGTAAACAAACCGTTTGTTTACATATGGACTTGACTTCCACTTTACATATCAGTCACCTTACTCTTCCTGAGTGATAAACAAAGGCTTTATCACATTTTTCAACTCTGCATTTGTATTTCCCAAGAGATGCAAGTTCCAACTGGTTTGTCTGCTGTATCAAGTTATCAAGATCTTCAGAGTCAAAACAATATCTGTTTATGAAGGATTCACACAGACTGAGCAACCACTCTCCTTTTGTTTGCTTGTTGGTTAAGTTACTTGGTAAATTTATAGTCTTAGGAGTCCCTTAAAATAAAATCATGGTGAAAATAAAACATTGTACTAAAAATGTTTTCAACATATCTTGATACGGTTTGATAATCATACTTATAAATTTGGGTAATTATAATATAATTATATAAGCAGTAATGTGCCATACAGTACATTATTCTTTTATTTAGTCTAACACCGCTTACTGTTTACTGTAGGAGAGAGGTTTTACTTGTCAATGAAAGACCATTGCTCATTATCAGACTAATTATTACTGTAACCCTTTAAGTGGCCATGTCCCTTCATGCTCCCTACTTTATTTTTTTACTGTCTAATGCCAGACGATTTTTCTCATCAAAGACAAGGGAAGAGTGCTGCCACTCAATGGGTTAATCACACCGGAGGGTTTAAACTGCAGGTTGCAGGTGTGCAGGTGCAGGTGTGCAGGTTGCAGGTGTGATATTCTAGCACAAGATGAAAACTTGACATTCATGAAAAAGTGTGAAGCACGCATAAAATTTTATCTTAGCTAAGTTTGAATTCTCTTTTATAATTGATTTTGTCACTCTTTGTGAGAAACGTCCGCCATATTTAATTCTTATCTCAAAAACACCTGATATCCCATATTATCAATAGTTTTCCCCATACCGCCAAAACATGTGATCACAGAGTAGGTATACTATGTACGTACTATGTACGTACTATGTACCTACTATGTACCTACTGTATATCAGTGGTACCTACTCTGTGATCACATGTTTTGGCGGTATGGGGAAAACTATTGATAATAGGGGATATCAGGTGTTTTTGACCTAAGAATTAAATATGGCGGACGTTTCTCGCAAAGAGTGACAAAATCAATTATAAAAGAGAATTCAAACTTAGCTAAGATAAAATTTTATACATGCTTCACACTTTTTTATGAATGTCAAGTTTTGATCTTGTACTAGAATATCACACCTGCAACCTGCACACCTGCAACCTGCACACCTGCAACCTGCACCCATTGACCTGCACACCTGCACCTGCACACCTGCAACCTGCAGTTTAAACCCTCCGTAATCACACTACATGTATTAGTGTCTTTATAGCATTATTTTATTTACCATTTGTATCTTCCATCCCAGTCATTTCCATAAAGGCAGAACAAATATGAGCCTCTAACTCACACTGATGGAACTCTTTGTATTCATTGTATTTCTTCCCTGGTCCAGCTGATGCATTTGTTTTTCGAGTTCTATTCATGCTTGCCTTCGTTGTGCCAAGCTCATTCCCAGAATCAGATTTGCAAAACATGTTAAATTCCATCTGCAATTAGTAGTAAATTAGCAATTAATGTAATCAACATGTTGTTTAATCAGGGTGCATGCAGTGCATTGCCCCCCTTGCCAATCTCAGGGTACATTCAGACGCATTGCCACTTAATGAGTTAAAACTTATAATGCTTATCAAATATTTAAGTAGACGCTGCAATGCCCCATACCGAATCACAGTACTTTACTCTAATGCCAAACAAATTTCTCATCAAGGGGAAAGTGTTAGTGGATAAATACATTTTAAAGATTTGAATAGATTTATGCAGTAAAGACAAAATAATTAAAAAAAAAAAAACCTCGTACAAGTTTACTTTTCCATGCCAGTCAGCAAACTCGGGATTAAGCTCCTTGATACTGTCAAATTCATTGTCACCATCCTGAAATGTCCATATAACATTCCTGGCTCGCTCTTCAAATAATTGGTCTCCATGGAAAGGAATGGGTGTGATAACTTTTTTGACTCGCCCTTTCCACAAGAGGGAACATACTTGTTTTGATTTTTTATTAACAGTTGTGCCATCTCTCCTGCAATGTTTGGATTATAAAATTCCATCCCAAGACAACACTATAATATTTAAGAGAAATATATATTTGTAAGAACACATGAAAGCACAAAATTTTATCCCTAACACAAGTGCTTGCCCAAGCATATAAGCCTTGGGTGCATTGGAAATATTACACCTTGCAGTCTGACTGTATGTGATCATGTGATCTCTCATAATTTGCACACTTTATACTATTAAATGACTACCCTTGTCAGCACTGAAAAAATACAAACTTCTGCACATAGATATCAGTTCCTTTCCCTTATGCATTTATTAATTAAAACTCACAATTTCTGACTTTGTTGAAGCCTCTTTAGAGTATTGATGAGGTATGTGGTTAATTACAACATTTCTCAGGAACGCAAAATCTTTGAGGTGCTTGGTTACTACACGGCTAACAAGAATTGCCCATGAATGTTTTAGTCGAGACTGGATGGTAGCAGTTGGCAAAATATCTAGTAGCTGGAGCTGATCAAGACTTTGTCGAGGCTTTGTATTGTCCAGACAAGGGTCAACAACACTATCTCTTATTACAGTCTGGTGAGTCCAGTGGATTGATTGGTTTCCATGTTCCTTTGTTTGAATCCGAGCATTAATTTCGTGGTCAATGTTATCACCAACTAATCTATTAACAATAAATGTAAATCAATGTGTGAATAAAAAAAAATTGAACCAAACATATCAGATGTTCATATTGGAGAGTAAGCACTTTCAAACTTTCCACTATGATATTGTAACAAATTAAATGGGCAGATACAGAAGAGAGGGGGGCTTATATTCATTGGGAATTATGGTTCGGAGCATCTGGACCCCCACTTTCCATAGGGACCAATCTTGTAACAGGGATACTACTTAAGGAAGGGGCAGAGGACGGGCAAAAGGAAACACGCCTGATTGCAGCAATATCATTTGGGGGGGGGGTCTTACTGGTCTAGGTTTATGATATTCAATAGGAAACAATCAATCTCAAAATCATGCATAACAGATAAATTGCAAACTTACTTAAAGAATGGAAAATTAAACTTTTTGTGATCAGTTATCACTTGGTCCAGCACTTCATTAGAGATAATGTCCACATTCTTCTTTTCTTTTTCTGATTGCAACATATCAGTTATACGAGTGAAAGATTCAGGTGTAAAATGTTGATAACTGCTACGTTTCTCTTCACATACATCAATAGCAACAATATCATCATTCGTTACAGGCTGTTTATCTTTGATTTCCATCATTAAAGCTAGGGTATCATGTGGTTTCTCCTCAAGAGAGCTTTTGTAAGAAAGCACTTTGGAATCAAAGTTTTTTCCTAACTGTCGCTGAAAACTTATAACCATATCTGGGGACATGCCAATACCTAATCGGTTCAATCTGGTCATATCTTGATAAGACACTCCACTGTGAAACAAAATGCTGGACACTCTGTATGTCAGAGCAGACATAGACTTGTTACGAACTCGAGCTATCGCAGAAGTGGCGAGAGCAACAGAATTGATGGCATTCGTATTGTCATACTCGTGCATTTGTTGCAGCTGAACACTACACGCTCCACTTACGCACGAACTCCAAAGGGGGCATCTTTCAGTAATTTCCTTAATAATTGTACTGTTCGAAAACGCAATTAATTCTTCAGTTGAACGACGCTTCAAAATAGTGTCAGAATTACAGTACTGTTTGAACCCATTGTTAGTAGCGGACCGCACAGCTTTTAGGATTTCTGGTTTTAATTCCTGGTGCGTGAGGACAATGTGGGACACTGCTTTCCAATTATTTAAAACTATGTTCTTCACAAGCCGAATAGTGTCTTTAACATCGGTTCTTCCATTAGGCCACAATATTAACACCTTTACTCGGGTCTGCTTTTGTACTTTCTCTTCGTCGTCATGACAAATAATATCAATATTGAGAAGCGAATCTTCATTATGATCCTTGTTTATAGTGTTATCAAACTGCTTGCCAAGTGATCTCTTCAGTCTGATCGTTCCTGTCTTTTGTGTCTTTTTTGATATAGGACTTCGCTCTGGAGTAGAAACAGTCGTTGGCAGAGTTCTTTTCGTGCGTGACGTATTTATATTATCATGAACCCCTGTGGCTGTAGTTTCGACCTCTTGATCTCTCATGAATATTGCATTAATGGTATTAATGTTATGCAAAAGAAACAAAAACCCTGCACGTGCATTCCGTATTTTAGTAGCACAAGGCTTACAAAGTCTTTCTGATAAATCGGATTTTCTCTCCACCTTTATTCCAATCGCATCCACATTCTGCGCTAAAATTTGCCCTTCGAATCCCTTTTTTTTAGATCCATTAAAGACATTTTCAGTGGATACAGACTTCCAAGAGTCTCCATACTGAACTCTTAGGGATAATTTACAACACCTACAATAATCGTTCGAATTTAGTTTATGTTTTGCAGTTGGAACTAATTTTTTAGGTGTTTCGTTTATATTCGACATTGTTGAAATATCCTAGAAATATCCAGGACAAAGTTGTTTGTGTTGTCAACGCCTGCGATACAATGTTAAAACGTATTTCCGGTCTGCGTTGATTGGTCATTATTAATTTATTTGTGACATGCTAATTGAAGGGGCGGCACACGAACATCATAGGGATCCTTGCAGGCTCTCTTTCACCCAGAGAGCCTGCTCGCAGGCTAGTGCCAAAACAAAAACCGGTACAAGACGCAAATAAACATTTAAGACCCATCTCGTTGACCCCAGTTTTATCAAAGATTGCAGAACAATATGTCGTTGAAAGGTACGTTAAACCAGCTGTTTTAAAAAATGTCGAACCACAGCAGTACGGAACTGTGCCTAATTCTAGCACAACCTTTGCACTAATCAACATGGTCCACACCTGGCTCCAATCTACTGATGGAAATGGATCTACAGCAAGAGTAATGCTCTTCGATTTTCGGAAAGCATTCGATTTAATTGACCATAACGTTTTGGTACTTAAGCTCTCGTCGTATGATTTTCCAACATCTGTAATGCGCTGGATTTTAGATTTTTTATCAAATCGAAAGCAAAGAGTGAAAATGAGCAGCGATTGTTTTTCTGAGTGGGCTGAGTTACGTGGCGGGGTGCCACAAGGAACAAAACTTGGCCCCTGGTTGTTCTTGATTATGATTAACGATGTGAAGATACCTGATTTAGATTTATGGAAATATGTCGATGATTCCACCATGTCCGAAGTAATGAAGAAAAATGAAGCAAGCTCTATGCAATTGCATGTGGATTATTTCGTGACTCAAACAGAAGAGAACAATTTCCATTTGAATAAATCTAAGTGTAAGGAGCTGAGAATAACATTTTCAAAGGCGGATTCTTTAATGGACCCTATCACCATTAACGGAAAGGAAATAGAAATTGTTTCATCAGCTAAATTGTTGGGTACCATTGTTTCCGGCGATCTCTAGTGGAACTTACATATAGACATGATCTGCAAGAAAGTAGCATCGCGTCTCTATTTCCTTCGACAACTCAAACGAGCGAAATTACCGATCCATGATTTATTGCTATTTTATAAAACATGTATACGTCCCGTTGCTGAATATGCGATCCCTGTCTATCACAACGCACTGCCACAGTACTTGTCAGATCTATTAGAAAGACTACAAAAGCGGGCACTGCGCATTCTGTATCCTGATCCTTCCTACATCCGGGCCCAAGAGATATCCGGAATAACTTCTCTACGTAAAAGAAGAGAGGTGGCAAGTGAGCTTCTCTTCCAACAAGTTGTGCACAACGAAAATCATGAACTACATAATTTGTTACCACCCAGAAACAATAGTAATATTGGTACTAGGCGAAAACGTTTCTTCCAATTACCAATTGTCAAAACAAACAGATTGAAGAATAGTTTTATAATGAATAATTCTTATAATTATTATTAACGTAAATAATAACAATAGATTCGACTATTCTTAGAAGTTGAACTAATGTACATTAGTAGTCTTAGCTAATATTAATATTTTAGAGTTTTTATAAAAATACCGAACAGAACTAATAAGTTAAATTTTAAAGTTTATATGATAGTTTGCTAGAATCAGTATTGTAAAAATGATCGTAATTCAGCTTTCGGGGCTGCAATGATCTATTTTAATAAAATATCTATCTACAGTAGGTGAACATATATTCCATAGTGTGCCTTTTTCATGGAGGCACGCACAACACTTTAAATTAATTAAACAGGAAAAATTTTTCTGTGCCTTTCAAAACATTAGCCTTAACTACAACCTGGGTAACCATTTTATCTTTGAACAGTTGATAGCCATATTTTTATGCTTGCATGGGCGTACCGGGCGGGGGGGGCGGGGGGGGCGGTAGCCCCCCCCCCAGTATTTTGGGCAGTCGGGCAATATTCGCTTAGCAGTCGGGCAATTTTGGTAAAAAAAAAGAAAAATGGGACAAATTCTGTAAATTTTGCGGAAAATTCGGCGAAGTTTCCGAAATTTTTTTAGGTTCCGGACAATTATGGTATGTCCGGAAAAATTTTTTGACCCCTAAAATGGTACACTGACCGAAATTTTTTTGGCGACGGGGGGGGGTTGTCGCCAAAACAAAGTCCGGCAAAAATTTTTTCGGTACTTGTCGGGCAAAATCCTGAAAAGTCGGGAAAATTTCTTGCCGCCCCCCTAAATTTTTCCTTCTCGTACGCCCATGTATGCTTGTGAGCATTTGCATGGTCCAATTTACTGAGTAGTCAGTTATCAAATGTTCCTTCAATAATGCATGCATGGGTATTAAAATACACCTGAAGTTTCTTGTCCACTGTATTCCTTACTCCATATTTACAAACAGGAAACCAAACGGCTCGAAACTTTCCAAAATATACTCAAAACAAGCGAGGTTGCTTTAAATTTGACTCGCGTAAATATGTTGTAGTTAAAAACTCCAATAAGACACTTGAACAGCAGTGAATAGTACTTAAAAGTACTTTATAAATCTTTGAAAACCTTTGAAATGTGAAAGCTCGGTATTTCAAACAGTAACTGTTTTGATTTTTCGCGCCAAACGACCTCAATGTTTTGTGGTTGTGAAACGAACGTTTGATCAAACATCTGTTGTTTTGGGACGGTCAAGTGTGCAAACATTTTTGTCTCTCGAGTCGCTAGAATTAAACCGATCATTAAAATGTTTAGGCAAATAATAGTTTAAAACGTGTTCCTTCTTTCGAAAATAATTTAATGCAGTACTCACCTTCATGTTGTGAAATATTCAAAAATTTGTTTCTGACTACTACGAATCGAACTCCTTCCCCGCTTCAGTGACTTTGTACGCCATGTTAAATATTTCAACCGCACTCGCTCGTAGAAGTCCAAGACGAAGTAGAATATGAAACAAGTCGTACAGATTTAGTCAAAACTTTAATCAAAGCGAAAATGATAAAAGTTTTCTTGCACTTCTCATGTGTTTAGCACCTTTCCTCGTTCGAAAAGTATAAGCGCCATGTTGAAAAATCCTGCTGTATAACTAAACTACCATGATGCTTAGCAATTCCGCAATTGGCCCATCGATGCGGAATATTGCTTAGAATAATATAATTATGTCAAGTTTCATTCCGATCGGACAAGTAATGACGGAGCCATAGGGTTTTTTCAAAGAGCGTCGCCCCTTAACAACGACAACGACAACGGCAACGGCACCGACAACGGCAACGGCAACGGCAACGACAACGACAAGTTTAGCAGCGATTGGGGCCCATTTCCTTGTCCAAAAATACATTCACAAACAAACTATTAATTAAAGACTCACCCTTTAATGAAATATAACCTTATGCTGTTAGATAGACTAATATAATGTTTTTGTTTTAACAGCTTTGTTGGACGATGTTCAAACGGCAAGAGTGCGAACGGGACTCAAGACCCATGCGAGGCACTCTCCGTCTTGAATTTTGTTTACATCTAATATCATTATTTACAAAACAATTATAAATTGGTAAACATATTCCAGCTGATTAATTAAATCAAATTAGGAAGATATTGCACCACATTTAAGTTATCATACATAATACAGATTTGTATAATCATGTTAAAAATTAGAAAACTGAATCAGGATAAAACAATGAAAGGGCAGTAGGCTAGTACACAGTTAATAGAAGGGGGATGGTTAGGATAGCTTGCAAACTTCAAAGGCCTCATAAATTTATGTCGGGAACCAATTTTTATTTTTGTCACGTGATCAGTAAGCGGTATGCCAGGAGTGAAAAACAATATGGCGATATAGTGAAGTTTGCTACAATCCAACTTGCCGTTCGAAAATATTTATCATTTCACGCAGTGAAGGCAAGAAAAACAAAGGCTATGGCGGGGATCGATCAAGAAGCTGACATTGGCGACATTCAGGACTTTCCCGAGGATATCACCAAAGAAGATCTAGAAAATATAGGCGAGGAGTCAAACGAGGATTTCAATCTAAACGTATCGCTCGCGATCTTAGACACAGAAACGGACGAACTCGACGCTGAGTTTCTCGAAGCCGTAACAGAAATTGAAGGCAAGAAGTCGTTTCCTTGCTCGTATTGCACTAAAGTTTGTAAGTTGAAAGGTGGCTTAACAAAACACACGAATTCCAAACACCGCGAAGCAAATATCAATGTGCCAACCGAATCGGACAAAGTTACAGAAGTCAATCTTATTCATTAGAAAATCTAGCTGGCATTGTCGAGGCAATCAAAGTTCGTTTGATCATAAGGCCAGTGTTTGGGAAAAAGCGTTTGAGAAAGAATGGTTCAACTGGAAATACAACCTAAAGCTTGAGAAATTTGAACTTGTCGAACTCTTGAAGTTAGCAGTTAAACATCAGCTATTCCAAATCGATGATAAGTTACACGAGCAAGTCGACGGAGTTGCAATGGGCTCCCCACTTGGTCCACTCATGGCGAACGCGTTCATGTGTTCAATTGAGGTATAGCTGGTAGAACGCAACCTGATGCCTTCCTTATACCACCGGTTTGTTGATGATTCCATCACATCGCAAAGCAATATTGCTTCCGCAGAAGCATTCCTTTCCACCCTCAACAGTCTGTATCCATCCCTTCAGTTCACTATGGAATTAGATGCCGATGGTGTATTACCTTTCTTGGGCACAACCCTAATTAATAAGTTCGAGTGTTTACTCTATGAAATGTTATATATTAAAGATCTTAAACCTAGTTTAAACAAACAATCGGACTTGATACGCTCTAAACTATTTACTTAACATTCTATGTTAGCATAATTGTTCGTCTAGTGTTGTTTTATTGTTTGTTTAATTGTTTGTTATCAATTTGTATGTTTAATTATTCTAATTATGTTAATTGGTTTAAAATTGCAACTGTCATGTATGACGAATTAGTTTGCTTGCGCAAATATGTAAACGCTATCTATATTAATTTAATCGTTTTCTGTTATAATTTGAACTTGAAAATGAGGTCAAGATGACTTCGAAACGTCGTTCTTTAATAAATTTGTTATCGCTATCATATTTGTCTAAATTTTTGCTTTTTTCAAGTTATTCTGTTTTAGAATTTAAGAAGCTGCTTTAAATTCCCAAGAGCTGAATTCGAAAATCGTGCGCTTTACAAAGATATTATAATATCTTAATAAGTCAATATTTAATATTAATATCTAGCTGTCAATATCTTACACATCTTCACTTTCGGCTTAGTGCTAGGGCATTCAAATTCTAACAGTTATTTCAATAACTTTGGTTTTTTTGGGACACCCTGTTGTAAAATCACGATTATATAAGATACATAAATGTGTGGTAATTTACAACGTCAGCACGCGTGACTTGCATTTCTGAAGGAAAGCTCAGTGATTAAATTTTCATACAAGAGAAACTCCTATTCTTATTAAATATATTCTTACTAAATATGCTTTTAGGGTTCCTGGAATTTGCTTCTCTAAGCAAGACTTTAAGTTTAGGTATATGTATATGTAACTATGCAGTGCATGGACGGTTCACTTCTCCAGTTTGGTTAGGTTCAAGTCCACGCATGTACGAAAGTTTTCGAACTGTTTACGATAAATTTATCATTAATCATAACTCAATGCCGTCCGGCCATGAGATTTCCGTCGTTATTAATATAAAGAACGCCGCGACAATTTGTAGTACAAAAATAGCACAAAAAAATCCGCTTGAAAGATATATTCTCGAACAATGTTAAAATAGCCATAAGATATAAACTAACCATACTCGAAGAATGTAAACTAGTCATACTATACCTAGAGAGGGACCGAAGTTATATTCAGCGAAAGGTATGGCTTAGTGACTCATCGTCGTACATATTTAATGTTTATATTGTTCAAAGTGTATTGTATATGGTCCGCCGTATTCAAACGAAACTTTCTACACGAAAGCGCTTGAAAACAAGGAGTATTTCACTCCTATTGACTTGCAGTATTCTGAATAGTTTTGAAGGTATTCAACTTTTTCTCGATATGAAATACATAATGTCTGGCCAAGCGGTGAGTAGGCTAAATATATACGATTGTTTTGGTTTGTGTAATGTTTCGAAGGCATATGTAATGTTTTGACCGGCCCGTTCTACAGGTGTCAAAGGTTATTTTATGAGGATTTCAACAGGGGTTTTCTTCTTTTTAAAGGGCGGGTAAATACTTGCCGAGATATTTTAAACTTCCCCACTACAAAATCGGAAATGTCAATATAAACCAGACGGCATTGACGTTCATTTTTTGATCCAGTAAACGCCATGTACGCTTCAGCGTACCTATTTTTTGGTTTGTAAACCGTCATTGGTGCTTATACCGGTACAATATTACGGTATAAACAGACACGAAGTTTAAAATGCCAAACTAGTAATCTAGCGTAGGTGTTCATCGTATATTAACGTGGGTGTTCATCAAATATATGATACTTGTCTGTCAGTATAGATATAAATATAAAATGTGTAATCACGTATAATCGTTCGTTCGTTCGTTCGTTCGTTCGTTCGTTCGTTCGTTCGTGCAAGATAAAGCATAACGAATTTTATCCTATATACAGATACTATGCACTGCCCTTGTGGTTCGCATAAAATTTTGAATGGCTGTTATACGTTTATGAAGAACAAGGTCACATGGGACAAAGCTCGCGCAGATTGTTTGAAACGCGGTGGAGATCTAGTCATTCATACCAGTAACACAGAATGCGATCTTCTCAGTCAGCGTGCCAATATACCCTTGGAATGAATGTTCCGTGGATTGGTGCCTCCAGGTATCTCAATTATACATGGTGTGTAAGAAAGGGTTATCTAACTTTGATGGGTACTATAGATGAAAATTACAGAGTGGAAATTTATATACATTTATTAGACTTAACCATGAACAGAAGCTGAAAAGTGGAACTTTTAGGTCCCTGGCTGCAGGAATTGAACCTGCGGCAATGCATGCGATTCCGGTGCAGCGCTCTAACCATGCAACTGAGCTACAGAGGTCAGCTTTCGAGCTCTAACGACAAGTTCATGTCTAGCTATGGTACTGCCATGTATAGGTTATAATGCATGGGTATAAATATCAAGATTTTTGTTACATCTCACTCGAATGAATAGTATTGGATGGGTATTGTAGATGGACTTTTGTCAAGTAGAAATTTATATACATTTATTAGATCTAACCAGGAACAGAAGCGAAAAATGCAACTTTAGGTCCCTGGCAGGAATTGAACCTGCGGCCCTGCGATTCTGGTGCACTGAGCAATCTAACTTTAACATTTTATCGTACGGTGGTATAAATCAAGCACACCTACGACAACGTAACTGAGTTGTTCTAGTTGTGTGCTTAATTTAGGCACTGCAACTCCTACTGTCGCAAGCATGCGACAGTCAGTAGGAAAAAAGGTTCTATAGTGGAAATTAAGTGCATGCTTTTCAACCATTCCAAAATTAGTACTAATACTGTATGTCATGAAAATAATGGTATAAAAATCATTGATAAGTTTTTTTTGCAAGAATTTTTCTTGTTTTTTGCAGACGACGACAGGATGCGAAATTCTATAATACCTGTGGAAAAGCATTAAGTTTCAAACGCTGGAATGCGGGCGAGCCAAATAACCATGGGAACAATGAAAACTGTGCCCATATGTATTCGCATGGCTCATGGAAAGGAAAATGGAATGACGTCGATTGTAACGGAGGCTATGGATACATTTGCCAATTTAAAGCACACAGATGTGAGTTTTAACAAACAAGCTGCTCTATTAAGCGTTAAGGTTCTTTTCCACTCATCGCTAAAACAGCTAGCAGCGAGCATGCGAGTCCTCACAAGCTCGGCGCAGGTTAATTTCCACACTTCGTCATCTCGTGTGACTAATTTACGTTTTTGCAAAATGGCGGCCGCTTTAATTCGACGCCTTTTGCACTTACTTTATTTAAGAGGATGTAGGAGAGGACGTCTCAAGTATGTAAAACGTTAAGATGATAAATATGATATGATAAATATAATGTTTAAATGATATTTTCAACGAATTCCATTGGCTACTGGTTTTCTTTGTTCGCGCGATCAGAAAATATTGTTGAAATTATTTAACTTCGCTGCGAGTGTTTGCAAGCTCGCTGCCAGCTGTTTTTGCGATGAGAGGAAAAGAGCCTTTAAGGCCCATACAGACCGGACACGATTTGGCAACGCGACGAGAATTTTCAATTTTCAATGACATTTAACTTCAATATTTTTCAGTGTTTTTCAAATATTCGGGACCACTTAAGCAGTTTTAGCTATTCGGTCTAAATCCCGTTGACGGTTTTATTTCATTTTGAAAACTGAACATTCGCGTCGCGTTGCCGAATCGCGTCCGGTCTGTGTGGGCCTTTATAGTCGCTGGGACTATTGCGATGAAAATTGAAAGCTTTGCATTTTTCACACGGAGCTGTCAATTTTGTGTGAGATGCCCCCTGGAAAGTTAAAATTTTCAGGACTTAGAGTTGAGTTTCCATTGACAGTATTGTCTATTTTGTGAAAGTCCCTTTTGTCATTTTTGAAAAGCATTATTACAGTCTAATACAGTCGCTCGAGGTCAACGTACTTTTTATTGTCATATTGATTTCAAATACCTCAATATTAAACGAATTTTCTTACTATATGTTGTCGTGTCTGAATAATGATACATTTTTTGTTAAAGGTGATTAAAGCAGCAAAATTGAAATAAAGTCATGAAACATAGCTACTAGTATAGTAGTACGGTATAACTTGTAGGCTGTGTGCTGTAGTAATTCAGATATTTGCAGAAAAATACCTGATTATTGATTAAATGTTTAGTTTGACAACTGTTACTCTAAGCAGTGTTGTAGTCCTGAAACGCTAACAAGGGAGCTTTAAAGGGGGGGGGGGGCATGTAGAGTGCAATATTGTACCAAGGCGAGTGGTGAAACGACCGTGTTGTTTATGTTAAGGTTACAGAACACCTTTGAGTGTTAATTTTGTCTAAAATTTTTTTATTGGTTTCAATGAAAGCATTAGACTAGTTCTACCAGCTGACCAAGTTTGAACGAAAAATGTTGAAAACTCGCAGAGTTATTTTGTAAAATACATTTCGCTGCAATAAGAAAAACATTGAAAATGTAATATTCAAATTCAATTTTCTCACGACAAATTTTACGGTAATTACTGATTTTCAAACGAGTTATGCTCCTGCGGGTTTTAACCAATTTTTCTCAAATTTTCACAGGACATAGCTAAATACGTCAGTTTCAAAATTGTGTTCGGCTTTTATTTAATTTTGGATATTTTAAAAATAAAGAGCAATTCACTCAAACAATTCAGAAATATATTGCAGTCGTCAAAGAAATCGCCATATCAGCGGAATGACGAAATAAACAAAAATTTCCGAACACAATTTTTTAGAACAACTATTTTACTGTATAAAAATGATATTTTCATAAATATAACTTAAAACCAGCAGGAGCACAACTCAAAAGCGTAAAGGTACCGCGATTTAAGATTTTCCTGAATAATTCTTACATTATTTTATTGTTTGTCAATTTTACAACTTTACCATATTTTGCATGCACTGGAGAAAATTTGGTGAAAATTTGATAAAAATCGGACTGATATTGAGCGCGCAGTAGCGATTTTCCGCAAAACGCCAAAAAGGGTGTCCTGTAACCTTAACACGATAAGAAGAACCATTTTATTTTATGACTTTCTTAATAAAACCGCAATAATAACTTTGGAACGGTTAAAGGAATCGAAAAATTTTTCAATGGCATTCTTCATTAACATCAAATGAATGAAATAAAGCATCTTATGCACATTTCTAGCTTGCCAGGTTTTCTCTCGTTATATTTTTATAACGGCTCAATGTATCGAAGCATGCTTTCATGTCGTTCTGCATTACAGCAAAAGGAAAATTCAATCAAGCAATATATAAATGCAGACGCTTTCAACTTGTTTGTATCCTCTGTAGGACGAGCCGAACATACCATATTTACTAACTCATTTCCGAATGTAAGTCCCCCCCCCCCGAATATGAGCCCCTCCGTATATCAGTCATAGTATCAGCCCATGGGCTTATTATTGGACAGGCATTTATTAACGCAGCGACTGGGATTCCAACAGCTCAGACGAGTCTGAGTAACGATGATACACTACAGCATTACAGTATGTTATTAATTAACCAACTTGTTTTTATTATTGTTATATACTGAAATATACTGTATGTTTATGTTTCTTTTCGTTCACGGTGTAGTTTACAGGTACAATAAATATTATTACTCACATCAAATGTCGTCTGTATATAAGCTCCTCCATGTATAAACGACTAAACCCATCAAAAAATGCTTACGAATTAAGGAATATAAAGTCCTACAGGTTACCAAAGGCTCACGAGGAACCGATAAAAATGCGGCATCTTGCCATACGTCAATATAGACATATAGTTAAACATTATTACCTCGACATGATTGAAAAGCTACAGATTGGACGTATCATCATCCGGTCTGATGCAGAACGTATTTTCTTAGGTCTATGGATTTTATCATCACATAGACAGGCGTTTAGTAAATCACCGGAATATCGATATGAACAACTATCTGTCAATAATTTACAACGAATATTATTATTTCACTCACCAAGAGTATTTTTTGGTGTTCCGGGTTTTACTGAACGCCATATAAATAGACATCATTGACGCAAAGGAAATAAGTGTCACATCACGTACAACAACCAAGATTCGGGACAATATATATTATTCCTGAATTCTATAAAAGTGAAATATAGTTTTATTTGGGACAAGTGGCAATTTAGCAAAAGTCGAACAGTTTACTATCTCTATTCAGTGGTCGTCAGGAGATAAAGCGTGTGCTTGAGTATAAGTATTTGGGTGTTGTCGTGGATGAGAAATTATCATGGAAATCTCACATATCCGGCCTACATTGTATCGAAAGCTAGCGGAAGAATCGGGCTACTGTGTAGACTAAGAAATTATCTAACAACATATTCTGCAAGCAGGATCTTCAAATCGTTTATACTACCAATATTTGACCACTGCGATTGTACTTGGAAGTGCTGCAATAGAAACGACAATGATTAATTGGGACACATTAGAAAATAGACGTAATGGACATGTCTTAAAACTAATAAAATGAATGCTCAAAGGTTATATGCCTAAATATTTTGAACATTATTTTACTTATAATAGAGAAATTATTGTTAGAACAACTAGACAGAGAGCAATCTTTTACTGTTGCCTCGTGTTAGACTTGAATCGACGAAGAAGCCATTTTTCTACAACGGCTGTGTTGTTTTTAACCGTTTTAATCATTGATCGAGGGACAATGCTAATCTTTTAGTGTTATTGATTCTTTTTATCAATATGGACTTACACGCCTAACATAGTTTATTTATTTGTGGTAATATGTAGATTATAATGATTTTTGTATTCTTGTATCAGTTCTAGTGCTGTGCTCCTATTGATAACAGTGTCTCGTAGGCGCTGAAAGGGTCACCCTGCTTAAATAAAGGTTATATCATACCATATCATATCAATTCAGAAAGTTGTATTTATGAACTAATTGACAAGAAATTAGAAGTGGCTTTTAGTTTACATGCAGTGACATGTGAAGTTTTGATAGTACAGGATGAGAAACATATACTTTAAATATGCAAACTCAAGAAATTGGTTGTGTAAGTCAGTGTGCATGCACGTGTTTGAACTTATTTCCTTTGTGTCAATACGATGTCCATGATGTGGAATAAACCGGGTGGGTCTAACTCTTTATTTTTTTAAAGATCAAATTCCTAAGGATCTCAGATAATTTGCCCCGTCGTATGTCGGCCAAACGGTCCGTCATTTACACACACGAGTATTGGAACACTTACTAGGTGTTTACAACTTTAATTTGGCAGATAAAAAACTAAACAATATTTACATAACTCAAACGAACAATACCATTATAAATACAAGAAGATAAAGGAAGTGCCAAGTAATAAGTTCTTTGTAGAATTCCATTGCGATAAAACATATAATTCTTTTTGTTTGTGGAAACACCACGTAAATTTATTACTGCGTGGCCTTCCGATTGATGACTTTGAAGTTCTTTCCTCTTGCGCTATCTCCGATGAACTTCTAATTCGTACTAGTTTCTTAATTTCAAAACTCAAGGCTTCCTTAAACAAGCCAGGGGACTATTAGCGATAGCCTAATGCAAAGCTCACTTCCCTTGTGGCTGTTTGAGCACTTTGGCCCCATTACACTTTGCGCATGTCTGAATGCGTCGGTATCTTCGTGTTGTACCACATGCGCTTGGTGAGAGCACGCTCATGTGTATAAATACGAATGTATCATGTATCTAGAGTCTAGACGTGTACCACGCTGCACTGACGAGGCGTTGAACGCCGAAATATGCATGTCTGCAGATTGTACTAATATATATATATATATATATATATATATATATATATATATATATATATATATATATATATATATATTATTATTATTATTATTATTATTATTATTATTAAAAATTTTATTTCAACACGGTAATTACATCAAAGAGAAAACATATTTACATATTTACATCCTTGTTCTTCCCGTAAGCCGTGCATGCAATTTAATTATATGAAATATTATATATCAATATTAGAGAACAGAGAGTTGATGTGTAGCTAATTTATCTTTAAAATTTTTTAAAGATGTTTCTGTTTTAAGATCATTTGGCAAGGTGTTCCAAAGCTTGGCGCCAGAAAAAGCAAAGCTTTGTTGATACGATTCTGTTTTGACTGATGGCAGTGACAGATTTAAATTCGCATTACGTAGCCCAAGGGATTGAGCTCCGTCGTTATAGTTAAATAACTCTTTCAAATAAGTTGGAGCATCATTATTCAAGATTTTAAACAACATGGACATTTTAAACCGTTTTCTTCTCTCATCTAGAGTCGGCAACCCAAATTTTTCGAGCATGGCAGCAGACCTAACAAAGTAATCGGCCCGGCTAATAATACGAACAGCCCGGTTTTGTAATTTTTGTATTCTATTTGCCAGTGTATCACTCATAGAATCACAAACAATGCAACAGTAATCAAAGTGTGGTTCAATGATTGAATGATATATAGTAATGAGTTGTTTTTCTGTCAAAAAATTCCTAGTTCTACGTAATAAACCCATGCCAATTGAGACCTTTTTAATAACATTGTCAACATGTTTTTTTCACGTCAAATTTTCATCAATTGTGACTCCTAAGCATTTTACATGTCTTACTTTACAAAGTGAAATACCTCCAATAGAAAGTGCAACATCGTCGATCAATGAAGCAATCTTTTGCCGAGTTCCTATAATCATATATTCAGTTTTTAAGGCGTTTAGAGTGAATTTATTAGCTTTAAGCCATAATTCAAGTTTTCTTAAATCACGTTCCATTTGACGTTGAAGTTCAATAGGAAAACATGCAGAAAAAGACAAATTTGTATCATCAGCATACATTCGTGCAGTGCCGTGATCAAAGCAAGATGCCAAATCGTTGATGTATATGAGAAAGAGTAGAGGTCCAAGTACAGAGCCTTGGGGAACACCACAAGTAATTTTAATCTCATCTGACAAACACCCATTGACAAAGCATCTTTGGTACCTGTCAGTCAGATAGGATCGAAACCAATCAACCGCTATTTTTTCCAATCCTAAATATTCTAATTTAGTCACAAGTATAAGATGATCAACGGTGTCAAAAGCTTTCTTTAAGTCTAAGAAGACGACACCGTTTAACATCCCTCTGTCAATGTTAAAGCACCAGTCATTATTCATATCTAATAGTGCAGTCATTGTTGAGTGAAGCGATCTAAATCCCGATTGCCGAGAATCAATTAAGTTATTATGTATAAGGTATGCATACAGCTGGTCATAAATAAGTCTTTCAAACACTGTAGCAATACTAGTTAGGACAGATATAGGTCTATAATTGTCAGAAATATCTCGTTCACCACTCTTAAAAATTGGAGAAATCTTGGCCTTTTTCAATTCAGCTGGGAAAATGCCTACCTTAATTGATAAATTAAAAAGACTAGCAAGGTGCAAGTAAATAAACGGCGCGGCGACCTTCAATAATCTATTCGGGATATTATCTAAACCACATGCTTTTGTAGTTTTTAAATTCTTTAGTAATTTCAAAACTTTGTCTGAGTCCACATCATGTATTCTGAATGTTTCTTCCGATTGTTTTAGAAACATTTCAGGACGAACGTTGCAATTTTGTGTTCCTATATATATATATATATATATATATATATATATATATATATATATATATATATATATATATATATATATATATATATATATATATATATATACCCAGTATAAACAATTTAATTAAAAAAGCTTGTCTTTCGAAACTCTAAACTTAAAAAAACCCCTTTAACCTTAACTCTATGTGCGAAATGGGCAATGGGAACACGCAGTGTTTGCCGCGGTGTTTAGTCAGTCTAGCTAGCGGTCAGAAAGACTTAATTGTCACAATCCGGCATATGGTTGAAAGCATTGCTTCAGTTTAGTTCTTTTCGATGCAGGTGACATATGATTTTGGTGTAGATATTTGTCAAACAAGATTATGAAATGCAAATAAAAATCTCATTAACATTAGGTTCGGCACATGAAAAGTTCGACGTTTGACCCTGACCTGAGCCTTACAAGTGATGTATAATTATTCCTTTTATCCGGAACCTACAACAGCATCCTTTTATCTGAAGCTTATGACACTGCATTACCGTTTTAATATTCTATATCCGTGGACGTGGTTGACACCACAATCATATATTATTACAAGCTACCTCAACTACATGCACTTCTTTCTCTCGATTTCAAATTGCTTTTCAAAACTGACTTCCAATGTTTACTTGTGAATTTGGAATGTTTGTTGTAAAGTTCCAAAGTTTGTTCCGATGTCTTCCGATAATCAAGATTAGTAAGTTGTAATTGGCTAGTTAAATGAACCAGCCAATCAAATCGCTTGCTATTGAATCATCGTGAATGAACGGAACGAATTTCGAAACAAACGTTGGAACTTTACAACGGAAATTCCGTATTTACAAATTAACATTGGAAGTCATGCAGTTTTGAAAAGCAACTTGAAATCGAGAGTAAAACGACGTGCACAAGCACATGTCGAGACTTACCAATATTAGCGGAAGTTAGTTTCAGAAGGGAAATTTGCAGCGTGTATATATACGCAGAACGCACTCGTATTTTTGAGCATACAAGCCCTACATCCACTTATCCTCCACAAAAGAAGAATTGTTACAGGTAGAAATCATCATTTGGACTGATACCTGGAAAATAGTTATCGGAAAATATGATGTTCAAGATCTTGGTCGTCATTGCCGTTTTTATTACCCAAGCCTCACTTGGTGCAGGTATGTGAGTAGAGTGGGTTACCCTAGCAGGATGTAATACCATTGGCTTCTCTGCTGCCATTGTTATAGCGCTCAATTTTGAGATGCAAGTTAAATCATGACACCAAATATACAGTATAACTCCGCTAACTCGAACTCTCTAGGGAAACGAAAAATTGTTCGAGTTAGCCGGGGTTCGAGTTAATGAGGTACCGGAGGTATTAAATTTCGTTTATTAGGTTAATAAGTTATAGTTTTATTATCCTGATTTACAATTGTGAGCTACTACGGTGCAATTAACAGATAGTTCTAGTGTTATTACCCTGGTTCCAGAGGCTCTTTGCGACGCAAAAGGAACGAGAAGCGAGATAGAAGAGCCTCTGGTCACATCGATTGCAAATCCCACTTCCACACTTGATTAGGTTTAGAATTTAAATCTCCCATGTGATTGGCCATTTGTAAAAATATGTCAATCCGGTTTGGGAAATAAACATTACTGTAAGCTAATTATATAATAGTTTTGTTTGTGGAAACACCACGTAAATTTATTACTGCAAAGCTTTCGATCCGTAAGCCCGGATCTTCATCAGTGCTAATAATATGCGACTTGTTTAATTCACACGCTCTTTTTATATACAAAGGTGTCGTGATCTGTTGGCTCGCGTCATTTGAAATTTAATTAAACGGCACATCAACCACGCCATTTCAAACGTAGTGAAGCAGGGCGCTTATATCATAGGTAGCCCAACAATCAGTGGTATTAATTCATTTCTGTTCAATAAAATCATAATACTACTCAGTCCCCGACTGCATTGTTTACGCGCGGTCAAATCATGTACGTATCCCTATAGTAATATATGCTAAGGTTCGCAGCTAAATTCCTTTATACGCTCGTAGCCCTGGAGAAATAGCACAAAAACTTTAAAAACACGCAATAAAACACAAACTAAACAACATAAAAGTAAGCTCAGATACTTTCACTAAACTGCCAGTCAATTTTTTGTCGAAAACAACATCGAAAATAACGAAAAATAAGCACAGTTTCTTATCAATTTTGTTGAATTTTCGCTGTGACTATGCGGGATGCAAGTTACCTGATACTGGTATTTTTTTTGAATGACGACTGCGAGATTTCATTGGCTTTGAACATTTACGTCAATCACAGGAAAATCCATTTCAGGGGGGTTGTTGAGTGTTTTTCATACACGGAGCTATAAAAAGCAAGGAGAAATGTTTTGAAAATAGGATTGCCGGCGAAGAAAGACAAGAAAATTACATCTGCGATAATATTAAAAGTTTGCAATTATAGAAAGCCAGAACTTCCAACATTATACAACACTATATCGGCCGAGGCAAACTTATAGTTTCTCTTCGAAATGCAGCGAAAACAAAACAAAACCTTGTTGCTTCAAATAAGGAACAAATTAATAACAATTTGGTGAGTAAAATCAATATTTTACGTTTCAAAAACTGTATTAAATGCTTTTAGCTTGGTGTTTTCTGTTTCTTTCTCGGTTTGCATGTCATAAAATTACTGTAAAATGTATAATTCGACAACAAGAATTATCTTATTCTTAGTTTGCAAAATGTAAAACAACAACAATACGACGGACTATAAATAATGATATCAATATAATTTTACTCACCATATTGTTAATTTGTGTTGGTATATACATTGTTTGTTGTCATTTTCTTGTCACGAATTACTAAAATTATTTGAAGCAACAAGGTTTGGTTTGGTTTTCGCTGCATTTCGAAGAGAAACTATAAGTTTGCCTCGGCCGATATAGTGTTGTATAATGTTGGAAGTTTCTATAATTGCTTTCTATAATTGCAAACTTTTAATATTATCGCAGATGTAATTTTCTTGTCTTTCTTCGCCGGCAATCCTGTTTTCAAAACATTTCTCCTTGCTTTTTATAGCTCCGTGTATGAAAAACACTCAACAACCCCCCCTGAAATGGATTTTCCTGTGATTGACGTAAATGTTCAAAGCCAATGAAATCTCGCAGTCGTCATTCAAAAAAAATACCAGTATCAGGTAACTGGCATCCCGCATAGTCACAGCGAAAATTCAACAAAATTGATAAAAAACTGTGCTTATTTTTCGTTATTTTCGATGTTGTTTTCGACAAAAAATTGACTGGCAGTTTAGTGAAAGTATCTGAGCTTACTTTTATGTTGTTTAGTTTGTGTTTTATTGCGTGTTTTTAAAGTTTTTGTGCTATTTCTCCAGGGCTACGTGCGTATAAAGGAATTTAGCTGCCAACCTTAGCATATATTACTATAGGGATACGTACATGATCTGACCGCGCGTAAACAATGCAGTCGGGAACTGAGTAGTAGTATGATTTTATTGAACAGAAATGAATTAATACCACTGATTGTTGGGCTACCTATGCTTATATAGTGGGCGGTGCAACGCGCTGATGTCGCGCTGATCGATGTGTGATGCGGAAAAGGACTGGCACGAGCGTGCTTTTCGGCAAAAGCTGACAAGGAGCGTGATTTTTCCTGTTGTTGTATTTTTGCTGTCTTTTCATTAACTACGAAATTCTTGAGGATGTTTTTGCACTGTAACGACGAAGTAGTAACTAGTGTATCGTACAAATGCTTGTTTGGCCTGTATAGTTGAATTTTGAAAGAAATATTGAGGATAACGAGTCGGGCTTTTGATGACTTCAATGAAGGGAAATTTTCAAAACAGCATTTGGGCATGTTATCAAGTCGTCCAAACTTCGAAATTCAGTTGATGGTAAAGATTATAATTATATGCTTATCTCCAAACGTTTTCATAAGACTCGGAGTTGAGCAATTGAATAGACAGCGTTGGAAAGTGAGGTATTTTTGTGTGTTAAATTTTGCCTCGTTAGACCATTATTTCGCTGCAAAAAAATAAACAACAATTGTATTTTGGCCATGCCATGATTTTTTGTTATTATGTTAATAATGTTGTACGACTTTTAAGGCATTCAACTGAAGTAATTCTGAGCCGTAAACATATTTTACTTCTTGGCCTTTGAATCAAAATACGACTCGCTCGGGCGTTTGTTGAGCGCAATAGTCGAAAAAGTTTCGTCCCAACTTTGATTTTTTTTGACCGGCTGGCCAAGACAACTTCTCGTAAGGATTCGTTAAAAAAATATAAATTCAAGTTGAGCATTTCTTGATTTTCAACTGAAAAGATCAACTAGTGGCTAAAATTAATTATGAATTGTATTCTATCGAACGTGAACGATACGTGTACGTACGAAGAGTTTTAAAAACCTTTCACGTCATGCTTCTTGCGAAAGCAACCGTTCGTAAGCTTTCGCAAGCGTTTTGAGCAAAAACTCTAAAATATTGGCAGTATCACCTGAAAATACAATAGCAGAATCTACTAAATTATCGTATAACATCGGAATTTTACCCCCAATATCTATTTCTTCATCAAAACTTGAGTACAAAACAGTCAAAACTTCCAGCTCAGTTTTCTCGCCATATTTATCCTTGCCATAAGACAACGTCGCCATAGCAACCACAACAAACTCGTTACCAGTTCATTGTATCACACATCGATCGACGCGCCTATAGCCGTTTTACCGCCCTATATATAAGCGCCCTGTAGTGCAGTGATTCCAATTAACGCGCGCGCATCCAAGACAAGAGAAATTGATTTTGCACATTAAAGAGAGCACGCCACGTACTATCTAGTGGCTTTCCCTCCTGATCTATAGTATTTGTTCTCGATTTCAATTGACTCTCTCATTTTGCGAGAGAACTTATGACTATCAATCGCCAAAATGGTTGCTTCGTCCCATTTTATACGATGGTCGTAAGTCAAAGTATGTTTAGCCACAGCAGATTTATCTTGCTCGGCTTTCTCGCAATTCGTCTTGTGTTCCTAAAGAAGCACTGAGAGATTTCCACCAGTTTCACCAATGTAAACCAGACCACATTCACAAGGAATGCGGTACACACCAGGTTTCTGCGATTCATTTACGTTGTCCTTATGTGTGCAAAGGGCTCGAAACAATTTGTTTTCGCTGGTATGGTATGCCTTTATACCTGCTTCATTCCTCAAAATTCTTTCGATTTTGTGTGAAGCCGGACCAATGTATGGTAGACAAACAGGCGACTGATATTCAATCTTCTGCTGCACACTTTGTGGCGTTTTCATAGCATTATCTATGAAATACAGTGGGTAACCATTCATTTTTAGAACATTTCTTAAATGTTCTAATTCATCGTCAACGTTACTTACCTCATAAATTGTTTTCGCCCGGTTGATGAGTGTCTTACACACAGAGTTTTTAATACTAGGATGATGAAATGAATTATAATGCAGATACCTGTCTGTGTTGGTTTCCTATAAACCTTATGTCTCAGCAAAACTACATTAAAATAACAAAACCTAATAGGACGAATAACTTAACTAAACTGAAACACCATCAGCCAGAGGGGTCATCTGATTTAATAGCCACCCAAAACCCCTTCCCAATACCACCACCCGAAGAATGACACAAACTCGATTGCAAACACAAGTTATCCATACAACTCAACTGGCAAGCATAGGATTATTCACTTCAAGCAGATGAACAGCTAAACATGAACAATACTAAACCAGCTGGCACACATTTGAAGACTGGGAACCCATTTGGATGAACACTTTTAGAATATTACATCTGACATTATAGCCATGGGCTAACTATTACAATATAAAGAAGAATGTCTCTAGATAATAACTCTCAAACACACATTAAATATTTTTGTGCCACGTCACGATTAACAATAATATTAATATCACCATCATTGGTATATGGAAACCATTGGGAAATTACTGTATCAATCACTTTATATTTAGAATTCCCCATTGGTATACATTTAATATATACCTCCATTATTTATCAGTCCGTTTACGTCAACTACAAAAAATTATTTTGCTTTACATTGTCATTAATTAACCACTCACTTTTTTAATAGCAAAACCATTAGGCCATATCACTATTATATTTGTAATATCTATAACACATCTATGATAATGTACTATTTCACAGGATGGTTTCAAATTAACCACCATTAGATAGTCTACATGTACATATTTCACTCTTTTGTACATATTACTTAGTCTAATTAGATTCTGTTACATCTTTATTAAACAAATTTTACATATTTTGTCTTTTTGATGATCTGTGGGTCAGTGTCTCTAGCTTAGCCGGGTAGAGGTAACTATATGTGCATACTACGTTAATCAGTATAAACATTCAGTTACACAGGACTGCTATACATCAAGCCACTAACATACATCCAGTCACTAAACAATTCAATAAAAACATTCAGGCCCTTGATCACAGTTCATTTACCCGGACAACCCCTCCCCCCCTCCCCAATGCCAACCTATTTCTAAAACCAAATCCCCAAATACTTTACCTTTTAACGTCATATTACTCCATAACTCCCCTTTCACTACACCATTACACACCAACACGATATATAACAATTTCAACGTAAAATATTTAATATATAGTGCTAAGTTCACAAACACTACATGAAGTATTGGGTAAGTTCACAGTTCCCAAAAATGCTTCCTCAGAACCACTACTATCCACACAACACCCAAATGTACATTTCACCAACTGCGCATGTCCTAACACGCAATTTATACAGCTGAATTACAATTTCTCGGCCCTTTCTGCTTACTTACGTAACGAAAGACGAGCTCTACAAGCGCACAAGCTTTTTACGAGGTTTATACTCATCTCACGAAGATTTTTCCTGTGCTACACGGCAGTAAACTATTTACACAACCATGGCCCAACGTGTTGGTTTAACTAAATTCAACAACGAATTTGGTAAGACATTCTATACTATACAATAGTTATACACATGTAGTGCTATGTTTTTATTTTCTCCTTGCGATCCATATCGGCTTCTAATTCTGTCTCTCTCACATGTGCCAACCCCAATCCCTGCTGACGAGTCCATGAAGGACGAAACGCCGCGTACAGGGATACTGAATTTTACACACATGATTTTCTCCTCTCGATCTTTATAATTGACATGCCTCCATACAAGCTTTTTAGTACAGCGCGATCATATCTTTTGGGTTTGATCAAAAATTTTTCCACACCACAGGATATTTTACCGTTACTATTTTACATTTGCATCTCCACTTTTATGTTCAACAAGTCTACGCCTACATTTATTTTCTTAGGTTCACAGTTATACAAATACAGGTTTTTTATCTTTATTTTTCAGTTTTTTCACAAACATACATTTTGCCAACAACACGAGGCCATCACACTATCATATTTCACACTAAACCTTTTGAACTCACATTTAGGGACTATTGTGCCATTAATTTATTACTAGGACACCAATATGGTTCTCATTACCTATATCTAAACCTAAAAAACTTGCAATAATAAATTTACGTGGTGTTTCCACAAACAAAACTATTATATTTTTCGCCATGCAAACATACAAAGAACTTAAGGTGGCTCCCTACAGTTCTCTAAAATTCTAGGTATTTTGAGTATCGTTCGCTTTGAACCGAATTTATATTAGATACACTTAAGACAAGGCAATATGATCATTTCCAGGAAAGTTCAGAAGCTGTGTGCTGCCATTTATGAACAAATTAAAACAGTGTTTGTGTTGCCGTGGCAACCATGACGTTTAATCTTTTTCACTTTTATTGTCTATGTTGTTAAGATAACTGTTTTTTGCAGTTAATTCGTGGTTGACATTTTATGGTTGACATTTCGAAACAGTAAACTTGGGCAACCTATGTCCAATGAGGGGTTGCTAGGCAACGGGTTTTAAGGACGTTCGAAAAACGTTGTTCGTGAGATTTTATGAGGGAAATATTACTTTTATTATTGTTCTTTTCGTTTATTTTTGTTAAATTAAAGTTTATAAAAAGAGTTTCGAGTCTTGAGAACATATTTTTGGCGATCCTGCCAGGACATTGGAGTTTTATAATGATATAATCGTGATCTTTCGTTCGTAGTATTGGAAAAATATTGACAGGCGGCATTTGCAAGAAGTATTCGTATCGTTGTTGGATTTAATTTCGCAAAAGTGTGAGGAATTGTCGATGGTTGGGACGTAAGAGAATCTTGAATTGTTGTATATGGTTGCGTGTGGGTTTTAATTCGTGATAAATATCGTAAAAGATCGAAAAATATCGGAGACATTGCGAGTAATTTATGCGTGTTTTGAAAATTTGAAATATCGAATAAATTAACGAATATCGAATAAATTAACGAATATGGAATAAACTAACGAATTGAATTTGCTAGTGTGGGTTCTTTATTAATGGAAGAATATTGTTAGTTATCGGATTTTATACAAACTTTCAGCGTGCGGGAACTTGTGTTCGCTAGTTTTTTACTGGAATTGTTGATCTATATTTGGACAGTAGTGAAGTGTTGTTTACCCTTTTTGTACATTTTGAGCTTGGAGAAAAAATATCTAGTATTAATTGACATAATTTGTTGGTATCTGAAACTTAAGTGTTGCTATCATGTCGGACACAGAACTGGATCCTAGTGAAATACCAGAGGAGCCTAAAGCGGATGAGGAAGTTAAACAAAAGCTAGTTCTAATCGAGTTAAACCGACGAAAACGAGCCAGTAAACGTAGCACAACGAAAGCAAGGCATCATCTTGAGAAGTTAATCGTTGAAAAGGCGGAGGTTGATATACAGGAACTGGAACATCGTGTAGAGACACTGTGGCAAATACTGGAAGATACACAAGTTATCATGGATGAAATGTCTGCATATTTTATGGAACAGAAAGATTTCGAAAGTCATAAGCTGGTGATGCAAGAGTCGAATGAGTTAGAGGGGGATTGTCAGAAGGTCATTGAAAAGACACAGGCTGTTATTGTTAAATGTGCATCAGAAAGCTGTGTGCCGAGTCCACCCATACAGAAAACTGCCCCAAACACAGGGGGTGAAGTAGAAACCGAAGTCACAGATAATCAAGGGGTTTCCACTTCCGTAACTGGGAATGAAGGTGAACTCGACATAGCTGATGACGTCACAAACCAGGGCCCCCAGGCAGTGGCTCCTGCAACATTAGGGGGTAATGATCACCTACAACAACCGGCTACCGAGAACAGTAGTTCCACCTCAACGGGGTACCCTAGTCCGCAGCATGATATTACAACAACAAGTAGTGGACATGGAGAAACTGTTATTAACCGTCGGCTGAAGCCATTGAGGGTGCCAACCTTTGACGGAGACAAGAAAAAGTTTGAAGAGTTTTGGGGACTGTTCGTAAGCCTAGTAGATATGTCGAACGAACCAACTAGCTTAAAGATGGCAAGACTCCGCCAAAGCTTAACTGGAATAGCCCTGGACTCAATCCGTGGACTTGGTGTGTCAGGGCCTGAGTATAAGGAGGCCAAGGAGATTTTAAATACAAAATTCGGAGGTCAGAGAAGGCAGCTTCGTGCCTACCTGGATGATTTAGAAAGAATGCACCCCTTACGAGCAGCTGATGTTCAAGGTTTCGAAAGGTTCGCAGATCTAGTAAGAGTGACGGTTGTTAAGTTGCAGGCAGAAGGGAAAGTAGGTGAACTTGGAGATGGAACACTGTACAGTTTGTTGGTCAAGAAGTTGACAGGACACCAGTTAGAAATTTACACACGATGGATGAATGAGCACAGTAAAGACAGATCGGTTTTAAGCCTACGAGACTGGTTAAAGGAGGAAGTCTCAATTAGAGTTGAAGCAATTGAGATGGCCCATGGGATAGAATCCGAAGATTCTGCGCGATATAATCGAAAGCAATATCCAACGAAAGGTGGAAGGAGCAATCCAAGTTCCTTTTTCATGGCTTCGAACAATCAACGAAATTCAGCGTTTAACGAAGACAAAAGGCCAAAACAAAAGCCTCCTTGTGCCTGCTGTAGCGGGCCGTATCATGGTATTTGGGCTTGTCGACAGTTTGAACAAAGATCGGTGGAACAACGATGGAACTTTGCCAAAGAGAAACAGCTGTGTTTTCGCTGTTTGAGTAACGATCATTGGGGTAAAGATTGTCGAAGATCGCAGCCGTGCAAAGTGAATGGATGCCAGCTCAATCATCACCGTTTGCTACATCGCCAACCTGTCACTCCACCATCACCCATACCACCTTCCCCCCCAGAGTCGTCATGGGAGGGGGCAGCTTCACGGGAGGGGGCAGGCCCGAGTAACAAAGTGGCAATGATGACACAAAGCCACTCATCCTCCAGAGAGCAGTGTTCATTACGGACAGTTCCTGTATGGTTGAAAAACAATGGAAAGAAGGTCAAGGTCAACGCCATACTACATGACGCGTCGAACGAGTCGTTCGTAAACGAACATGTGGCTAACCTACTAGGTATTCAAGAAGCGTTTCAGTCTGTTCAAGTTCACGTTTTGAACAATTCTGTGGAAACATTTCAGTCCATGCCTGCAAAGATTGAAATTGAAAGTGTCAATGGTGATTTTGGCAAAGTTATCGAGGTAAAAACTTGTCCCCATCAAGTTACTGGAACTTATAAAGTTGAAGACTGGAATGAAACGAAGACGCAATGGCCTCATCTCTTACAATGTGAATTTGCAAGGCCGGCGCAAAATGGCCTAGTGGACTTGCTAATCGGAGTGGACAATGCTGATCTGCATTATTCGAAGGTGGACGTGCATGGACCACCAAATAGCCCAATCGCTCGCCTGGGTCCTCTTGGATGGACCTGCATTGGACCGACCGGAAAACTGGATGGTAAGAGGTCTCATCTTATCATGCATTCCTTTTTAACAAGAGATGCTCACGGCGACCAAAAAAAGGTTAATTGTTGTGATGTAAATAACACATTGAGAAAGTTTTGGGAAATTGAAAGTTATGGAACCGAAACCAAACGATCAGCGGTAATGACCAAGGAAGAGAAGAATGCATTTGAAAAAGTGGAGTCGTCATTAACGCACAATGGGACCCGCTATTCTATAGCTGTCCCGGGGAAAGAGGACTTCCCGACTCTTCCAACCAATCGGGAAATGGCAGTGAAACGTCTGGAAGGCACCGAAAGAAGTTTGAACACCAAAGGTAACTTTGTTAGGAAAGAATACGAAGAAACAATAAAATCGTACATTGAAAAAGGTTATTTACGAAAGTTGACTCCCGAAGAAATGTCGTCTCCATCGTCTTGGTATCTGCCACATTTTCCGATAGTCAAGTTAAACAAAACAACAACTAAAGTGCGCATAGTGTTCGATTGCTCGGCAAAGTACGAAGGCGTGTCGCTGAACGATGCAATCTCTGCAGGTCCCAAGTTACAAACCGAACTGTTCGATGTCCTTGTACGTTTTCGGCGAAATCCAATTGGAATTGCCTGCGACATAAAAGAGATGTATTTACAAATCGAGATAGAAGAAAAAGATCGTCCGTACTTTAGAATCTTGTGGCGAGATTACGAGAGCGACCGGGAGCCTGATGAGTATGAATTTACACGAGTCGTATTTGGGAAAAATTCGGCGCCTATGGAAGCGCAATATGTCGCCCAAGAAAATGCTCGTCGTTTTCAAGATCGTTATCCACTAGCAGCTGAAACAGTTCTGAAGTCTACATACATGGACGATAGTATCGATAGCGTCGAGGACGAAGCCAAAGCCGAGACTATTCAAAAGGAACTGCAAGAGCTATGGAAGAATGCTGGTATGGAAGCCAGGAAATGGGTCTCTAATTCAAAGCAAGTTCTGGCAGCTATTCCAGAAGAGCATCGAGCATCTGAACTGGTGATTCGAGACGCAGAACAACCAGTGACTAAAACGTTAGGTATTTCGTGGTTCAGCAAAGAAGACACCCTTTCCGTTCCAGCACCATCAATGACGGCATTCGTGTCAGTAACAAAACGTAACGTCCTAAAGAAGATAGCTACAATCTTTGACCCTCTCGGTCTGATTTCGCCGGCGATCATAAAAGGAAAGATGTTGCTTCAATCGTTGTGGAGCCGAGGGTATGATTGGGATGATGAAATACATGACGACATAGCAAACCAAATTCAGTCTTGGCTTAATCAGTTATCCGTTTTAGCAGAAGTGAAGATTCCCCGTTGTATTAGACTTGCATTAACAATTACATCCTTCAAGTTGATCACCTTCGTTGACGCCTCAACAAGTGCATTTGGTGCTGCAGTGTATGCCCGGTTCGAGTATGAGCAATCCTATCCTCCTACATGTCGTCTATTGGCATCAAAGAGCAAAGTTGCTCCCTTGGTACCAGGCACCGTACCGCGTCTGGAGTTATGGCCGCAATAACAGGTCTACGATTGACACAAACAGTTATTGGAGTCTTGGAAATCCCTATGAGCACCGTAACATTCTATTCGGACAGTCTCGATGTGCTTTGATGGATACGAGGTCATGGAAAGGACTTTCGTGCGTTCGTGGCTAATAGAGTCGGTGAAATACAGATGTCTAGTGATCCTCAACAATGGCAACACGTGTCTACGGAGCAGAATCCTGCAGATCTTATATCACGTGGTATAAACGCTGAAGACCTCAAAGAGAATTCATTATGGTGGAATGGTCCTGACTGGGTATTGAAGGATGAAGACAAGTGGCCAAGAGTTGCTGACAATAGCCCTCCAACCGAAATGAAAGAAAGCAAGAAGCCTACTGTCTTAGTTAGTCATGGAAGTCCAGTACCACAAAATCCCGCAACGAACGCGACAACAGACGAATGGAGATTAAGCCCCAATCGGTACTCATCGTGGATGCGTCTGGTTTGCATTTATGCACGAGTCGTCCGAGTTCTGTGCAACATGCAGAAGAAAACAAATCGGGTATTCGGAAAAGCGCTACAGCCAGAAGAAATTCAGGACGCAGAAGAAGATATCATTCGCAACGTACAATTAGAAATCTTTTCCGAAGAGTACCAAGCCCTAAAGAGCAACAAAACAATCTCACCCAAGAGTCCTTTGATTAAGCTATCACCTCGAATTGATGAGAATGGAATCATTCGTATGGATGGCAGACTAACATATGCAGATTACCTTCCGTATGACGTAAAGCACCCCATAATCCTACCCCGAGGTCACCACGTAACCAAACTAATTGTTAAACATTACCATGAAAGAGCAAATCGCACAGGGGGTGTGAACTTCATTTTGGCTCAACTGTCACAAAGATTCTGGATAATAGCAGCACGGGAAGAGATTCGAAGCTGGGAGAACGAATCTAACGAGTGCAAAAAGAGGAAGATGAAGCTTGCGACACAAATAATGGCTCCACTTCCAAAAGTTCGTCTTAGATTTACCTTTCGTCCATTCGACCAGAGCGCTGTGGACTACGCAGGACCTTTTATCACGGTGCAAGGCCGGGGGAGACAGCGTCAAAAGCGATGGTTATGTTTATTCACGTGTCTTGCGACAAGAGCTTTCCATTTGGAAATGGCCTGGGCACTGGACACGGAGAGTTTTCTAAATGCTTTCACTCGATTCACTAGCCGACGAGGGGTACCGTCCGAAGTTACAAGTGATAATGGAACTAATTTCGTGGGAGCCGTAAATGAATTGAGAGATTTGGTGGGAAAATTAGACCCAAACCGTATTCAGCAGAAGACAAACCACCTCTTCGACAAAGTAAAGTGGCATTTTAACCCTCCAGCCGCTCCGCATTTCGGAGGAGTACATGAAGCGATGATCAAATCGGCGAAACGTGATATCTATTCGGTCCTAGGAAACAGTGACATTCGAGACGAAGAATTGATCACCGCATTTACTGCTGCCGAAAGTCTGGTCAACTCTCGTCCCTTAACCTATCAGACGACAGATCCTAAAGATGTTACACCGTTAACACCAAACCATTTCCTACACGGGCAAGTGGGTGGAGAAGTGGCTCCCGAATCGGTTGACTACACCAATTTTAACTTACGGAATCGGTGGCGAAGAGTGCAACAACTACTCAATCAGGTGTGGACGAGATGGTTGAAAGAATACCTTCCCACATTAAACAAGCGTCCGAAGTGGACGGAAATAGTGAACGACATGAAAACGTGTTCGTTAGATCACAACCTACCAAGAGGTCGATGGCCTCTAGGACGGATCATCGAGACGTATCCTGGTAAAGACGGTCACACGCGAGTGGCAAAAGTTCAGTGCGGAGACAGAACCTTAGTTCGACCAATACACAAGTTAGTACCGCTGTTTCAAGAAAACTGATGGAACAGTGTTAGTTGAACAGTTAGTTTAGATACGCACTCTACGCAGTGCGGGGAGGGGGAATGTTGTTAAGATAACTGTATTTTGTAGTTAATTCGTAGTTGACATTTTATGGTTGACATTTCGAAACAGTAAACTTGGGCAACCTATGTCCAATGAGGGGTTGCTAGGCAACGGGTTTTAAGGACGTTCGAAAAACGTTGTTCGTGAGATTTTATGAGGGAAATATTACTTTTATTATTGTTCTTTTCGTTTATTTTTGTTAAATTAAAGTTTATAAAAAGAGATTCGAGTCTTGAGAACAATACACTAACATTAACATCACCAGATGTTGTGGTTATAATTTCGGTATCCAGGAACGCTATTGTTTGCTGATTCTCTGTAACAACAGGCATTTCAAGAGTAAATTGTATATGTGGGTTGATAGTACTTAGATGATTGTGAAATATTGAAATGTCCGATTGTTTTACACAGGCGTTGCTATCATCTACATATCTTTTCCACCATCGCACCCAAACGGGAGATGTTTGCATGGCAGTTGTTTCTATTCTTTGCATGACTAATTCTGCAATTACCGCACTTACTGGCGAACCCATGGGACATCCAAATATTTGCTGATAATAACAATCTTCATACATGAAATAACTGTTGTTCAAAACAAATTTCAGCAAACCATAGATATGATCTGCAGATAAGCCAGTATGTTGTGTCCAAATCGTTGTATTGTTTAGCTCTTCCTTAACAATCTGGAGTGCCAAATCAACGGGGATAGATGTAAATAAAGATATTACGTCAAATGAGACGATACGCTCATTAGGTTCAATTTTTGAAAATTGAAAATAAAACTGGCAAATTCTTTAGAGTTCCTAACTGTGTAAACATCATTGTACAAGTATTTTAGAATGCGCGCCAAATATTTGGAGATTTCATATGTTGGAGACCCAATTGAACTATTTATTGGTCTAAGAGGAACTACCGTGTCTGCTTCTATTGTAAAATGATCATTTTGCTCAACTAAAGGAACCTTATGTATCTTTGGCAAACCGTAAAACGCCGCCGGGTAGGAATCAAATGGTCTCAGTTTTTTGTACTCATTATCTGTTAAAAAACCAGTGTCTTTCAATTTTAATAAACGTTCTTGTAACTCTGTGTCTGTGATATAATGATATCATCGATGCTGATGAGCAGGCCCGTGAGATTTTGCCCAAACGTTCTATCCTAGTGGCCTATAGTAGGGGGGCCAATTTAAAAGAGCTGTTGGCCCCGTCTAATCCTTACCGAGGGGTTGAACCTGTAGGTCGGGGTTGTATTACATGTACAGCCAAGAGATGTGATTGCTGCAAACATTTTCTCACACCGGGCAATTCATTTAGTTCAACCGTGACCGGCAGGTTGTTTAGTATCCGTAAGACCTTGACGTGTACATCCGAGAATGTGGTTTACCTCGCTCAGTGTGTGGCTTGTGGTTTGCAGGGGGTTGGTTCTACTATTAATTTTAAGCCTCGTTTGGCAAACTACAAGTCACATATAAAGCATAAGCGTAGAACATGTGGTGTAGTTATCACTTTATAGATGTGCACGGGAGCGAGCATTTCAATTTGAAATTTATGTTAATTGATAATAACAACGAGGACTTAAGAAAGTGTGAAAACTTTTGGATAGGCACTTTGCTCACTAATTTGGGGGGTTTGAATACTAGCCATGATTATTCCCAACAATAGGTTTCTTTGTTTATATTGGTTTAATTAGTTTAATCACTTATATTGTTGTATATAAGGAGGGTAATTTACTATATTCATTTACTTTTTGACGAAGGCGGTGGCATGCTGCCGAAAATTTAAAGCTATATATATATATAATTTTTATTAAATAATTTCACTTGGAGTCGTGGCAGTGTTATAACCTGTTTGTATATTATCTATGATTTGTCTGCCGAGCAGAGTGTGTACACTTGTTGCATATATATGTATATATATATATATATATATATATATATATATATATATATATATATATATATATATATATATATATATATATATATATATATAT